ACATGGCCCTGTCTCCTTTATTAATATTTGTCGTTGGTTAATAATTAATGGCAAATAGATGTGCATTCAGGTACTCCTAAAACATTAGCAAATATATTCAGGAGTAAATTTTTAAAATTATAAACCATGGCTAAATTGGCTTCCCCTAGACATGGAAGACTTGTCCACTCTTAGAGGAGATTATTAATGTCATGCTATTTTAAGAAGTCAGAGAGCAAAAACTTTGATCATCTCATTAGATGATCAAGTTCATTAATTCTTATTTAAAAAAATCTTAACTAGGAATAGAGAATAGTCTTTTTTGTTTTTTTTTCCCCATAAAGATGTATTCCAAACCAAACCATCATGCTTTCTTGATATGTTCCCGTTAACATTCAAGTGGAACAAAACAAAAATGCCCACTATCAATGTTTTTAAACTTTTCTTAAAAGTGTTAGCTAATGCAGTTTGTCAAGAGAAATAAAACATACATATATATGTGTGTATTATGTGTATGTATGTGTGTGTTGACAGATAAGGCATAATTATTATATGCAGTTGACCTAATTAGATGCTTAAAAACCCCAAGAAAATTGAAAAACTATCAGAAACAATCTGAAAACTAAATAAAGATCTTATTTATTTATTTGAGAGAGAGGACACGCGCATGTGTACGAGTTGGGGGTGGAGCAGAGGGAGAGGGAGAAGCAGACTCCCTGCTGAGCACGGAGCCAAATGTGGGGCTTGATCCCAGGACCCCGGGATCATGACCGGCGCCACAGTCAGATGCTTAACCGACTGAGCCACCCAGGTGCCCCCAGAACAATACATTTTATGTAACAGTAACCATGTAGAAAATACTGTGGGAGTTCTGAGTTAAAATAACAAATTGTATAAATACATTTAATTTTGTTCCCTGCTTAACTCCTCGAAAACTGCGGCAAGGGGATCTTTTTAAAGCATAAGCCCACAGAGAATAGGGGAACAACAGAGTATACATATTGCAGCAGTAAAGCCATGGAAGCAATAACACAGGTGAACATACGGTAACCTGCCTAAGAAGACCGTAGCCCAAGTCAGTGGGGAGAAGTGAGAATTTTCACAAGTCACACCAGAGAATCATCAGAAAGCATAGGTGCCAGAAAGTCCGTAGCAGTCCATTTTGGATCATATCTGTGCAGTGTACTTAACTTCCACACAGTCCTGCCAGATAACCATGAGTATGGTGAGCCCAGTGTCTTCCAGGCCTCACTCAGACCCTCACCCTCAGATTTCACCAGAAGAGGCTACTGTGACCCAGCGACAAGTTTATTTTTTCCTGGGAACCTTCTTTTAATAGTAACAGTATTGCTCTTTTGCTCATGCAGCTAGTTTTATTCTTGCTACCGAATTTTCAAAAGCCAAACTTTATACTGTTTGGGATATACACATGGGTGATAAAACTGTATAGAAAAGCAAGGGGACGATAACCCAAAAATCAGGATAATGACTGCCTGGGAGTGGGACACACTAGCTTCTGATGTATTTGGTTATTGATACAAAGTTCTCTTTCTTAACCTGGTTATGTCTTATATAGTTTTAAAAATTATAATGAAAGAAAAGATTCCCATAACAACAACAAAACTCTCAAATAACTAGGAATAAATTTAAGAAACATTTAGGATCATGTAAAGAAATTGTTAAAACTTTACTAAGGATAGAAAGGATACTCAGTAAATGAAAAGGTAAAGAGGGGTGCCTGGGTGGCTCAGTCAGTTGAGCTGCTGCCTTCGGCTCAGGTCATGATCCCAGGGGCCTGGGATCGAGCCCGAGCCCTGTATCGGGCTCCCTGCTCAGCAGGGAGTCTGCTTCTCCTCCCTTTGCTGCTCCCCTGGTTCTGCTTTCTTGCTCACGCTCCCTCTCAAATAAATAAAATCTTTAAAAAAAATGAAAAGGTAAAGATACATCATATGTTTAGATATGTATACTACTTTTTTGAAAACCATGCATTATGATAATTATATTAATTTAATCTATCAAAAATCATTCATTTGCATTATGAATAGGATTTTCCCTCTTTGGGAGGCAGGCAGGCTTGATCAAAATGATACTAATATTTCAGCTAGAAAAATGAATTGCAAGAAAAGGAAAGTAGGCATGAGAAAAAAGGCAATAGATATTAGAACATTTTTGAAGCTACAATAAAAAGTAAGATTTAGGGTAGCGGGATAGAACAAAGAACCCAGAAATAGACCTACACACCTGTGAGCATCTAGCAATGATAACATTACATGTAAGAGAAGGAAAGAGGACATGTGTAGAGAAAATATCACTGGATCCCTGCCTCAGCAAAAACATTCAGATCAATGAAGATTTTTTTTAAAAAAACAAAAACTAAAAAACTTCAATAAGAAACCATGGATTAATTATGTTTTTGTTGTGATACTTTTTTTTTTTAAACAGATGTAAAACCCAGATGCCATAGAGGAAAAAGTGGATATATGTATTTAAAATTCTGAGTGGAAAAATAACATTATAATCAAACTCAAAAGACAGATGACAAACTGAGGAAAAATATTTGCACCACAAATGGGAAGTTACCTTAATTGATAAAGATCTTTTATAAATGAAAAGGACTGATAGTCCAGTACAGACAAGACAGAGGATTTGAACAGGCATTTTGCAGAAAAATAAATATGAAAGGCCAGTGGACATTAAAAAATGTTTACTTTTCTCGTAATTAAGGAAATGTAAATCAAAACAGTGGGACATAATCTCTTATCTCTCAATTGGGCTAATGACTTAGAAGTTTGGTACTAACTTGAGTGAAGGTGTGGGAAAGCAGGTGGCTTTATGGGCGGCAGTGTGACGTGTACAATTCTGAAGAGCTTTGTGGCTTTACTTGTCAGCATTTTAAATGCAAGAACCTTTGGACCTAGCTACCTCCCCACTGGGGGACACTGGGGGTACTGTCCAAGTTTACCAAGAAAGACACAAAACATTTTTTCTCATAGCTTTGTTTATAACAGCAAAACAAGCACAAGACCCTGGCACCACGTGGAGATTAGCAGTGGAGTTGAAGCTTGGTCCCTACTCCTGGTCATGCTCTCAGTTGCACCGTGGAGGTGTGAAAGGGACACCTGCCACGCAGTGCGCCTGCCAGTATGGAGCGGCAGCTGGAGGCTGCACGGTACCAGCCCGATCGGGCTTCCTTCCCGGGGCCTCTAGGCTGCCAGCAGTAGCCAAGATTTCTGCCCAACCAAATGGAATTGACCTCTTTCAGAGCTGAGCTTTGTTGCTGCCAAAACATAAGGATTGTTTTGGTGGCAGTGAGAACAATAGAATTTACTCTAGAGTAGCTAACATCACAGATTAGGTACAGTACTACCTTAGTGGCCTGGCCTCCTCAGCAAAGTGGTGCCTTTGTATTTGGTGATGAAAATGTTTCTGTTTTCCATGTGAGCACCAAGAGCACAAGCTGAGCGCCCAGCCCAGCTGTGAGCTCCCAGAGTGTCACTCCATCGGTGGTCTCCCCACACAGTGCACCGGTCCCGGCCACTGTCAGCGCAGATAGCTCAGTTGCTCTGTCAGACCTGAACTTTCAGAGGGTTTTAAAGCTCAGCCTACAAAAACTATGTTCAGAAATACTACTTGATCCTGGCTCAGTCACTCCTTCCTTACTCTAGTGGGCTGAGGCTGTCAGGTTCTCCACCAAGGTGTACCTGCAGAGCTTGCCCCACGCCCTGGTTCCAAAAGTAGTGGCAAATTGATGGTATTTGAGTAACTTAGTCTCCCGTGAGAATCTACTCCCTTTCCCCTCCTCCCATCAGTTGTGAGAGAATGAAGATTGTTTGCTATACTAGGGGTTGTGCAGCTAATAGACATGAGCTCTCTCTCGGCCTGGGGTAGGCTAGCTTTTAGGGTCTTAGATTCCTAGGGACACAAAGCTTTCTTGAAAGCGGAGATAAATAAGGAACTTTTAGTGGGAGGCTAAAGATAAAAAAATTAAATCCCCTCGCACATCTTTCCAGCACCACCTCCTCCCGCAAGTTGACAAAAGATCTCTGTTTTTGTTTTTGTTTTTGTTTTCATGTAGCTATGCACGCAAGATGGGCTGCATCTGGTTAGGGTGTGCTAAAGCAGTTTTTCTACCACTGGAGCTCTTAGAGACAGGCTCTTCTCTTCATAGGTTTTGGTCAGTGTCCTTGTTTATGGGAGAGATTCCCGTTGACAAAAATCCATCTTAACTTAGAGCCTCACCACAGACCCTCCTGTCTCCTTACTGCTGGGTGCAGTGATAGCCATTTTCCATCCTGAAAAAAGAGTGTGGCCTATGCCCTATGTTTAATGACTGACGTGAATCAGTGTGGGTCCTTCCTTCCCAGCCCTTCCCCTCACCCAAAAGCGGGAGCTTCGTGGGCCTTTTTCTCTGTGGATGTAGAAAGCCTGAATTCTACATTAGTGGATCCTGTGATGGCTTTAAAACCCCCAGTGCTAGATAGAATTAGAAATATTGGTTGTTAAAATAAAAGGTTTTGGATTTGTTGGTCTTTTTGGTGGGAAGGAAATAATGTATTCTTTAATAGGGGACGGGTCCAATAAATTACAGTATGTCCATGCAGTGGGGTATATTATTTAATTCTTTAAAAAGATCTCTATCTTCTGGTATGAAAAGATCTTCTAGTGCAATTATTTAATTATTGATTAAAAGCTGTGTAGTTGTGAATGTAGTATCCCTTTTGTGTAAATATGATGTTGGTGTATATATGAATAGTTTCAGGAGTAAGCCATAAGTGAGTGTATTTCTTATAGGGACATATATGGGAAGGATGGCATGTTCTTGCTTCTTTCTACTGTTTGATTTTTCCCGTTATGGAATTATTTACCTACTTATTTTTGTGAGTTGGAGTTGTCTAGGTCATGGGAATATAGCTAACCATCCTTTGATTCTGTCTTCCTAATTTGCAGTCCTGTATTTTTATCTTTTTAATTTATTTTTCAAAGTCAAATGCAGTTCTGTCTTTCCATTCATATATTCTTAGGTTACACAGGATGACATCAATTGAAAGAGAAGAAAAGGAGAAAGTCAAGAAAAAAGAGAAAAAACAAGAAGAGGAAGAAACAATGCAACAGGCTACATGGGTAAAATACACGTTTCCAGTTAAACATCAGGTAATTTTTATTATAGTCTTTTAAAATAGGGTTAGCCATTTCTGAGACTTGTATTTTGCAACTTTGAATATCTAAATTTTGTTTTACTTTTGAGACAATCTTTTATTTAATGTAGTTGGAACAAAGTAAATCTTTCTGGCAATTTTATAAGCATAGGGTTTATCTTACTAGAATATAGGTGGGCTATTAGACTAATTTGTTGAAATTGTTAGAAAACTGTAAAATTGTGTTACATTTTTCATATTAGAAAGGGGTGTGATTGACCTTGGAAAAACATGGGTTTGAACTGCATGGGTCCACTTACAGATTTTTTTCTGGTAAATATAGTACAGTACCGTAAGTGTATTTTTCTTCCTTCTGATGTTTCTTTTCTTTTTTTTTTTTTTAAGATTTATTTATTTTAGAGAAAGGGTGGGGGTAGAGGGGCAGAGAGAGTCTTAAGCAGAGTCCATCGCGGGGCTCAATCTCATGACCCTGAGACCATGACCTGAACCAAAAGTAAGAGTCGGACACTTAACCGACTGCACCACCCATGCGCCCCCTTCCTTAGGATTTTCTTAATGACATTTTCTTCTCTCTAGCTTACTCTGTAGTAAAGAGTTCGGTATATAGTGCATATAATAAACAAAATATGTGTTAATCAGCTGTTTATGTTATTGGTAAGGCTTTGGTCAACAGGAGGCTATTGGTAGTTAAGTTTTGGGGGAGTCAAAAGTTATACGTAGATTTTTGACTGCATGGGGAGGCGGCAAATCCCTATGTTGTTCAGGGGTCGGCTGTAATCAGTTTTTTCATAAATCTTTGATTTCTGTTGAAAATAAAATTGATTGGTAAACTTATTTGCCTGACTATTGATCTTGTTTGGTAAAAATGCATAAAACCAGATGTGCTTTGTAAAAGCTTTCTCATTCTCTTTTAATCAGAATGTTTTCATTTACACCAGGTTTGGAAACAAAAAGGAGAGGAATACAGAGTAACAGGATATGGTGGTTGGAGCTGGATTAGTAAAACTCACGTTTATAGGTTTGTTCCTAAATTGCCAGGCAATACTAATGTGAATTACAGAAAGTCATTAGAAGGAAGTAAGTAATTGAAGTTATTTTTTGTGTTATAGTTTCTGATTTTGTACTATTTATTATAAATTTGTAGTACATTGTCCATATTTTGGATAAAAGTGTTTTTCTGGAATTTTTAATTGAACATGCAAAACTGCCAATGTAGCTTATTAATAATAAACTCTAAAATACTTTAAATTACCTTTATTCTCAGGATTTTCATTATCTAGGATTTCAGTTAAAGAAGATAGAATAGAACTTACTAGAAAAAGAAAAAAGGCCTCAGCCACCTAATTGTTTTTCTAAAATCTTAAATTCAGTATTACCTTACTTCTTAAGGAGCCACCTATCTGGTAACCTCAACGTCATAGCGCATAACAAAGCCAGAAAGGAAGTGATAGAGACTTCTGTAACACTACCACATAAATGAGGGAGGTATTAACTCAATTTGTGCTATTCTCTAACAACTTTTAGTATTTAGAATCACAGAACTCTAGAGGGGAACTGCCCTATTAAGAGACCATCTGTTTTGAATCTCACATTCCATGAGCAGATTATTTCATGAAGATGTAAAGTTATGTACAGGTCACCTAGAGAGAGAGGGATAGAGCCCTGACTGGAATCCATGTCTCCTCGTTCCTACTGTCCTTTTTGCACACTACATTTGCCATCTCTCTTTTGTTACCTGAGCAGTTTTCAAAAGCAGTTCTGCTCACTGTGCAGTGTAATTTGCTAATGTATGGTGTGATGTGTTCTCTCCTGTGAAGCCTTTGCTGCAGTGAGTACTGTAATACATAGCTAACTAATTTGACTTCCTTGTGAATGGTTCTGGTGAATCCTGGACTGGTTAGATATTTGAAACCATTAATGTGGTCAAGTTATCATTTTGGATTACCCTTTAACAAAAAAAATATGTATTTCATAAGGTTCACTGGAACTTATAGGGACTGGGAGTGTCTTGCACATAATAGATGCTCACTGAATATTTCTGTTTGCCAAAAAGAACTATTCAGTATTAAATTCTATTATGATCTGATTATATTCAAGCTAAATGCCCTTTTATAATAAATTCTAAAATATTAACATTTTTTTTATTGCCATTTTGTTGCTCCAGTTACCCACGTAGCACTTAGAATTATAAGGAGTTTTTGTTTAGTTGTGTCTGACCTGGTTTGTCTTGTGTAGTAAAATCCAGATTATCAATAAGCAAAATATTTAGGCTTTTGTAGATTTATCTTATATCCACTTTCCTTAGCATACGGTTTCTAATGGCCAAATGTCGGGCCTTTATCCAGTCAGGTACCAAGTTGGTTTTCCGGCATCTTTTGAGCCTTTCCTCTTAGTGGTAGCAGTGCACATTGTTAGCTTAATTTAACTGCACAATACGAAGGCCTTAGTAACCACCAATTTATAATCTCAGAACTGCTGGTCCTTATAATAATGGCTAATCTAGTCCAATCATATGATAGAGGCACAGATGTGTTGGAGAAAACAAAAATGCAGTTCAGGGAACCTTGACTTAGCATCAGAAGACTAGAATGTTCAACTTGTTTGACTGCTGTCTCCTTATCCCTAACCTCCATTCTAACTCAGACTGGATGCATTTGTTTTGCATATTAGTTTATAAGTGTCAATAAAGGTATTGATGTGCAAGGATTAACAAAGGATATTAATAGTCTGTATGTCAAGAAGACCTTTATGGAGAGGAAATCCCCCAAATATTTTATAATTGTCTCTTTTAAGTATCTGGGTTATTAAAGCTTTTAAGTGGGGTTACTGCCATCATATAAAGTTCTCTTTGAGCAACTTGAAATCATTGAAAACATATTGCCCAGTTATTCTGAAATAACTTAAAGAAGCACTGAATAAGGAGAGTATCAGTTTAGTTTTTGTCCTTTAGATACCTGGGGGTCCAGACATATCCTGTCACCGTTTTCTATGATTTTTTTCTTCTTTCACCAATATCCTACTGTCTTGACAGATACCGAGTTTGTTTTTTGCACTCTTTGCCCTTCCCTCAGCCAGATCTTTCTGGAAAAAGTCATTTATTTAAATAAGAAGTAGGTACATGGTTCTAAGTCCTTGGGATATTTGGCATCAAGTGAAGGAGAAAATAAAAAATAGAAAATGCCTGTAAGGCCCAAGAAAATTCATCTGGACAATAGTTCTGTATCATGGGCTTGTTTTTTGTTTTTTGTTTTTTTCTTATGGAAAGTTTGAAACTACAACTTTACCACGAAAGTAAAAGAGAATAAAATAATGAACTCCCATGCAGCCACCATTCAGCTTCTGTCACTCTCCTGTTAGTTGTCATCGCCTACTTTTTTTCCTGGAGTTTTTTTTTTTTTTTCCCATGTATTTAGAGCAAATTCCAGAAATCATGTTATTTACCAGTTCAGTATATAGCTCTTATGGAGTGGACATTCCATAACCATAATGACATTACCCGCTCAACAGACTAACAATATTTAACACATCCATCTTGAGAGTCTCAGTTCCTATTCCAGTTACCCCAGTTGTGCCAGAGATGACATTTTACTGTTGGCAGTAAGTCAGGTCCAGACAAGGCCAAACATTGCATTTGGTTATTTCTCTGAAGTCTCATTTATTCTGTGATAAATGCTATGATTCCCTACCCAGAAAAAGTCCGTAAACAAACTTTTGTAATTAATTTCACTGGCTCTTGGATAGCCTTGAAGTCTACCCATGGACTCTGGGTGAAAAATACTTAAGTATTTATCCTTCTAAGGTGATTCTTTAACACAAAGTATGTTAGAAACACTGATGTAGACTTTGTGGAGTCATTGAGCTGATGAAATAATCTCATATGTGAAGGATCCTGAAGAACATCTAAAATGCACTCATTCCTTTTATGCTTTAGGTCAGCTGAGCATATTAGGAAAGTATATACTATCTTCAATTTTTGCGTTTGTTTTTAATAAAAATGGTATAAATTGCTGGAAATTACTTGATAATTTCCACTAAACTACATTTATTAAAGTAAATTGCTGATAATCAGACTACCCATAATTGTATATATATTCAATTCTTTTTAGCCAAAAATAATATGGATGAAAATATGGATGAGTCAGATAGAAGAAAAAGTCCACGGAGTCCAAAAAAAATAAAAACAGAGCCTGATTCTGAGAAAGCCGAGGTAAAAGATTCAGATGCTGCCAAAGGAGCAGACCAAAGTGAAATGGACGTTTCCAAGATTACTGAGAAGAAGGACCAAGGTAAGGAGAGTCAGGTGTGAAGGGCAGCCTGGGGGTGATAAGATTGCATTGGATCTGGTTCACACAGCAGAAAAGGTACTGCCTTATCTTTCTTTGATGGCACCTTTATTGAATCATAACTCATTTGCTCTATAACTTACCCATTTAAAGTGTACAGTTCAGTGGTTTTTTAGTATTTCACAGAGCTGTTCACCTACCACCACAATCAATTTTAGAACATATTCATCACCCCAGAAGTAAACCTCATACTCATTAGCAGTCAGTCTCCAGTCCTCCCTGAATCACCCCAGCCTACTTTCTGTGTCAATGGGTTTGCCCAATTTTGGACATTCTGTATAAATGGAATCATGTAATATATGGTCCTTTGTGACTGGCTTCTTTGACTTGGCGTAATGTTTTCAAGGTTCATCCATGTTGTAGCATGTGTCAGCATTTTGTCATTCCTTTTTATTTCTGAATAATAGTCCATTGTATAGATGTGCCACATTTTGTTTATCCATTCGTCTGTTGATGGACATTTGGGTTATTTCCACTTTTTGGCTGTTATGAATACTGATAAGGACATTTGTTTACAAGTTCTTATATGGACATATGCTTTCATCGCTCTTGGGTAAATACCTAGTAGTGGAATTACTGGGTCATGAGCTAATAACTCTGTGTCCAACCTTCTGAGGAGCTTATACTGTCTTTTGTGAAAAGGCATTTTTTAAAAACTCGATAAGCTAGATAATGTATGAGCCCTAAGATATTTTATGACTACAGAATAGTCTATACAAAATCTTCCATGAAGGTACTGGTGTATGGGCTAACTGTCACATGCTAAGTAGTTTTACATTGTGACATTCCAATTTCAGATACTAAGAATCAGAATATTTAAATATTTACTAGATGTTTTTAAACCTTTTATAAAGTTTAGCCCTGTCCATTGATCTATCTTAATCATGTATCAGGAGCTTTCAAATATATATTTATATTGAAGCTCTTGAGTGAAAATAAACATTGGTAGTTTCTAAAATAAAATATTGTTAATTCCACATTTGAGACTAAAAGTTATACTTATATAAATGTCTTTGTTTCACAGATGTACAAGAAATTTTAGATTCTGACAATGAGAAACCCTTTAAGGAAGAACCAATGGAGATAGATGATGATGTGAAAACAGAGCCACGTATTAACTGTCAGGAAGGTTCTCAAGTAGATGTGGTTAATGTCAGTGAGGGCTTCCATCTAAGGACTAGTTATAAAAAGAAAATTAAGTCATCCAAACTAGATGGACTTCTTGAAAGGAGAATTAAACAGTTTACACTGGAAGAAAAACAGCGCCTCGAGAAAATGAAGTTGGAGGGTGGAATTAAGGGTATAGGAAAGACCTCTACAAGTTCTTTGAAAAGCCTTTCTGAGTCACCAGTAACAACGAAAGCAAAAGAAGGGTGTCAAAGTGACTCACTTAGACAAGAACAAAGCCCTAATGCAAGTAATGGTAAATCTGAAGATGTGATTCGGGGATGTTCACAAAGCGATTCCTCAATTCTTGGAATCGGTGATCCTGATCATACAACAGACAGTCTTTATCCAAAAGATCAAATGTTAGATGACATCTCCTTTCAGAGTCCAGAGACAAACTGTCAGAAACAAAATTCTGTTGGAAATGCCATAGATGAGAGTCTCTCTGAACCTACCAGTCAAGGCCAGGAACCTGTTAAGATTAAAACAAGAGGAAGTGACTTTCTCATTGGTGACTCCAAACCAGCCAGTGCAGATGAAATTGGTACTTTGATCTATAAGAACAAAAAACCACTCATACAGGAGGATAATGACACCATTGTTTCTCCTTCCCAGAGCCCTTCACTTCCATCGGTACCTAAAAGTACCGATGATAGAGATCTCCCGTCTCTGTCAAAAGCAGTGGACTTTGAAGGAAAACTAGGTTGTGTCTCTGAATATAACAGCACTTTGGAAAATAGTTCTGATACTATGTCTGTTCAGGACAGCAGTGAAGAAGATATGATTGTTCAGAATAGCAATGAAAGTCTTTCTGAGCAGTTCATAACTCAAGAACAAGGTATCGAAGGCTTGGAACCATTGAAACGGGAGTTTGTTCCAGATAAGTCCACTGGAAACTATGATAAAAGACCACAGGGTAAGGTAACTGAAGCAAATGGTAGAAAGCCAAGTCAAGAACAGAAATTAGAGAGATCAGTTAATAAATGTATTGATCAAGTCAATCTAAAAAGTAGCACTGACAAAAAGAATAATGAAAATCGAGAGTCTGAAAAGAAAGGACAGAAAGCAAGTACCTTTCAAATAAATGGAAAAGATAATAAACCCAAGTCATATTTAAAAGGGGAATGCTTGAAGGAAATCTCTGAGGGTAAAGTAGTAAGTGGTGACATTGAACCAAAGCTTAATAATATAAATAAGATAATCCCTGAAAATGATATTAAGTCTTTGACTGCTAAAGAATCTGCTGTAAAGCCATTCATGAACGGTGATGTCATCATGGAAGATTTTAATGAAAAAAACAACTTGGAAATAAAGTCATCTTTACTGAGATCTTCAGATGCTGAAGGCGACTACCAAGATGGCCTAGAGACCGTGCCGTCAACCAGAGAGCCTGAGAGTGCACACGCTGCCATGCCTCCACTGTCTTGTCCAGAAAGCAGTTCAGCGAATCAGGTAGAAGATATGGAAATTGAAACCTCTGAAGTTAAGAAAGTTACTCCCTCACCTGTTCCTTCTGGAGAGGAATCTAACCTCAGTAATGATTTTGTTGATGAAAATGGTCTGCCCGCCCACAAAGATGAAAATGTCAATGGAGAGTCCAAGAGAAAAACAGTCATCACAGAAGTCACCACCATGACATCCACAGTGGCCACAGAATCAAAAACTGTAATCAAAGTAGCAAAAGGTGATAAGCAAACTGTGGTCTCTTCCACAGAAAACTGTGCCAAATCCACTGTCACAACCACCACTACAACAGTAACAAAGCTTTCCACACCCGCCACAGGCAGCAGTGTGGACATCATCTCTGTGAAGGAGCAGAGCAAAACGGTGGTCACCACAACAGTGACAGACTCGCTGACCACTGCAGGGGGCACTCTGGTGACATCGATGACCGTGAGCAAAGAATATTCCACAAGAGACAAAGTGAAACTCATGAAATTTTCAAGACCCAAGAAGACTCGTTCAGGTACAGCTCTGCCATCCTATAGAAAGTTTATCACCAAGAGCAGCAAGAAGAGCATATTTGTCTTGCCTAATGATGACTTAAAAAAGTTGGCCAGAAAAGGAGGAATCCGAGAAGTCCCTTATTTTAATTACAATGCAAAACCTGCCTTGGATATATGGCCATATCCTTCTCCTCGACCAACCTTTGGTATCACTTGGAGGTATGTATTTGGGGAAGGGAGAAAGTCTTACAAGCATTATCTGATAAGCATATCTCATTTTTTACAGAAAAAATGAGATAATAAGAGATGCGACAGGAAAGCAGAAGTTTAATGGGCCAAGTTAGCAGCGGAAATAAGATACAGAGAATCTTGAATTTGGCCAGCTGGGAGGTACTCAAGTTTCTTAGGGAAAAATGTTAATAAAAGACTGAAAAAATGGGAGGGAATTCTTTAAAATGAAATTCAGTTTTACTTTTCACAAGACAGAAGAAACGTGTCAAACATAGTTGTTTTTGTGGTTTAACTTTCCAAGTTAATTGCCATGTGTTTGCCTTGGGAATGAGAGAATTGCAGACTTGGATAATCAACTTTCTGGAATGTTTGTATTTTATTTCTATTAGGTAATTCATAGAAACATAAAGACATAGGAAACATGCCTGGGAAGCACACAAAGTTCATCATAATGTGGAAATCTTCCTAATGTAATTTATTTGCATGGTAAACATTTGTTTTGGAGTTCTTTGTTATATATGTGAGAAGAGATAGTCTCAGGTTCCTTAGGGATTTTTTTAAACCCAGAAATAGTCTTAATTTAAAATTTTCTGGGCATTAAGCTTTGGGGATGAGTCATAAGTACGTAGTGTTGGCAGTTGTCAGATCGTGTAGTTTTATATTGGGAAAGGATCTTAGAAATTCTTATCTTCTGGAGATGTGTAATAATTTGCCTCTGGCCACAGAGGGACAGAGTTAGGAATAGTGCCCGGTGTCCCTAAAGCCCAGTCCGGTACGGCTGTGTCACCTCTCACACATCTGTCCTTTGTGCTTTTTCATGTCCCTGTCTTTTTATCTTTTCACCCTCACAACTGGAAAGGATGGAACATAAACACTGAAAACACGAGAGTCTCTGTGGGGCAGGCTTGGAAGTCAGGAACAGTCTTATTGCTGCTAGAGTTTGATAGGAACCTGAAGTTATTTTAGCAGGTGACTGAGCCAGCTCCATTGCACTCTAGGCTTCATTTCTGTATGTCTGTATTATGGTTCCAGTTTCTTTAAGTTAAAACCATACCTTTTTTTTGTTTCTTTTATATTATAATTAGCATTATAAAACAAAAGGTGTAAATGAGTACTCTCTCTAAAGGAATTAACTTATTAATATGACCAGTCATAGTTGGTTTGACCAAGGTTTTTATAACTCATCTTTTGATTTGAATTAAAATATCATCACTCCATTACACATTCAATAGAGACAGCTGAAAAGTACAATTTCTCTGCAGGGCCTGCAATGAAGGATTTGCAGAATCCTGCAGGGAATCAAGGAACTCTTCATTACAGTTCATGGATTTATAGGATTACTCTGCACTTTTCTGCTTTCTTCATTGAGAGCGGTCCCAAAATGTATCCTTGACTGTCCTGCAGGTAACTTCTTTCCCACTGGAAAAGTTACTATGTACAAATACTTTAATTAAAATGACCTGGCAGTTGTGGAGGCCGACCTTTCTGCTCTTTTCTTTTCTGAAGTGGAAGGTAGGCTCAACTGGGAAGCACTTTTCTCTGAACCAGTTCCGATCAAGTGTTGCCCAGGGCCCTTTTCTGCACGGCTGGGTTTCAGGAGACTCGTGTATGTTTTAATATGCACTGTGGGCACAATTGGTATCTGTTTAGTTAATTTCTCATTTTTTAATGGAAGGAAATGCCTTCCTGTATATTTTAAACAGATATTGACATCAAATATGTGCTAACGTCTTAATTTGCCGAAGTTGAGGGAAACAGAATCCCTTGTATCTAAAAGAGGCATGGGTAAATATGTAAAATATTCTTGACTTTAGAATGCATTTTTAAAAAGTGTATTGCTGTAAAAACCATGCATGTGAAATGCATTTTTATATTCACACTTGAATAAAATATGTCTGATGCTTAGAGTAGAAGCCAAGAATGCCAAGAGGTGCCTGTTTGATCTTTATTAATGTTAAGGCTGAGCAGTAGTGAAAAGCGAAACTTGTCTTGTCAACTCATTAGGCCTCTTTTTTTCCTCCACACTGTCCATTCTCTTACTTCCTTTTTCCCGGGCCCCGATTCTGTGTTTCATTATCACTTGGAACCAGTAGTTGCCTCCACAGTGCTGCCCAAACGATTCTCCCAAAAGGCAGATCTATTCTGTGAATGTTCTGACTGAGCTGAGCAGCCTTCAGAGTGTTAACTACAACTGCAGGGCTGGGGGGTTGTGGCGGGGGGGGCGGGGGGCGGGGGGGGAGGCTCGTCACCTGTGCGCCATGTCTGTGAGAAGTACTTCCCTTTACAACCCATCCTATACTGGATGCGTTTCAGAAGCCTTCATACTGCTCACCTTCAAGGCTCTTCTTTTGTCCTCCCATTTGGTGCAGCACATTTGGACTCTGCAGTCCTCTCTCATGCCGGCTTCATCTCTTGCTGCGCTTCCACTCCCCTTCCCTCCAGTCAGAGCACACCAGATGTGGTTTCTGGGAAGAAGAGTGTGCTGTTGTACGCTTTCCTCCTGAGCATGTGTGTGCCCCTTGCCCTGGTGTAGCCACCTCCACATCTTTGTCCTTTGAGACTCGAGCTAAGCTCTGCTCCCCATCCCAGAGCCGAGTCAGGGGCCCCTCGCACTGAGCAGCCCTGAGGATATGAGAACAGATTATGATTTATTTCCCTGTCTCCAGCTCCTTTCAGTTAGTCTAACACACATAGAAGGCACTCAAGTATTTTTTGAATGAATACATGGATGAACAGGCTTTTGGTGTGTGCCCCTGCTGTGGTGTTTCCATTGCAAAATATAGAGATGCATTGAAGTTGTAGAGAGTAATCCGAGGAAGAAGAGAGAGAATGAGAAACATTTCTCTTCCCACATACAAACCACTTGGCATCCAGAGTTCCCTATGCATTTCTATAGGGTGTGGTCTGAAAGTGACATGTACTTTCCACCCCCTTCTCAGGACATCCCTGCACTGGATAACATTCACCCTCCCATTTAAGAATTGTTCTGTCCAGGTCAGAGGATTCACAGGGCGACAGCACAACAAAGGAAATCCTGGTGTCACAGGCGGAGATGGGAATTTAAGAAGCTGCTGCACCTTTTTGGTTGGAGTGTTTCCCTTTCTCACATTGTTCATTTTCCCAGCTTAATGTTTAGAATAGAAAGCATTGCTTCTCAAATACAAATTGTCTTAAGGTTTACCTTCTACCTCTTAGAGGAGGAAATTATTTTAGTTTTAGAGATTTTTCTGTATACTGCAGTTAATCAGGATATTTATTTAAGTACATGGAAATGTCAACAGTTTAATTACACAAAGACCACACTAATAGAGAATTGATACCCTAGGGCTGCTTTATAGTATTTTATGGTTAGTTCCATCTCAGGACATAATATTCATTGCAGTTGTAAATTCATTCTGAAATATATCTTTAATATTATTTTTAAAAGAGTATCTAAAATGTTCAATAACTGTACCCAATGCTTAGAAAAAAACCCGAATACAGAGATTCCTTTGTCTCCTGATCAGTAACTAATCTAATATTGTCCTTTTTTATTACTGATTATATTGTAGAATTCTACAACTATTATTCTAATGTGGTTAGTGTTTATTAGTATTAGCAGGTATTCATCGTCCAGTAGTTCATGTTTTGCAGAACCACCATTTGGATACAAAATTTCTGTCCATTTGGAAAGGCCTTATTGGATTTGTGGGGGGGGGGGGTGTCTTTTTTTTTTTTCTGTATTGTGTTTTGAGAAAATTTAAACAATTGCAGTTTGTTTCAACACAAATCAATCAGTTAATTAAGATTTTATCCTTCAAAAACCTTTATCATCTTTAGTGACACAGTTATTTCTCTATATTTGTTCTTCTTTGTAATTTCTCTAACACATATTTTGGAATTAGGCTAAATGTATAAAATCTTCATAAATTCTTGCCATGTCAGTCTTAAAATGAAACACGCTCATTTTACAAATTTATATGGTATTTGAAGCGACTACAGACCCTTTTTAAGTTGTTAGATGCATGTTATGCCTAGGAACAAAAAAGTTATTAAGGGATGTATAATAGCCACAGTGCTTACAAAATCGTATTATAATTATTAAAATCATAATGAAGACAAGATACAGCCCTTTGGTTTAATAATAGAATGTGTGTGTGTGCGTGCGTGCGTGTGTACTACACAATACATACGTAGTTTTTCTTGGGTTTTTCTTTCAGGTACAGACTTCAGACTGTAAAGTCCCTAGCTGGAGTGAGCCTTATGTTACGGTTACTGTGGGCAAGCCTGAGATGGGATGACATGGCGGCCAAGGCTCCTCCGGGAGGAGGGACTACACGGACAGGTAAGGGTTTCCCATTTTCTAGTTTAAGTTGAAAAGAGAAAAAAATCACTTGACAGTTCACTTAATTTTAAGCATTTCTGTTATTTATTAAAATATAACGCTTATGTATAAAAATACAGCTTTGCTAAAGTTGGGCAGCACATGCTGTAAGATCTGGGGGCAGGGAAGGGGGGTCAGATTATAAGGTGAGTCACTTACGTGTGAACCAGTCTGAATTTTTTAAAGGATCTTTGTGGGGCGCCTGGGTGGCTCAGTCGGGTAAGCGTCTGACTCTTGATTCTGGCTCAGGTCATGATCTTGGGGTTGTGAGCTTGAGCCCTGCCTTGGGCTCTCTGCTTGAGCTTCTCTCTCTCCCTCCCCACCCCACCTCCAAACCCCACAACCCCCCATGCTCACTCTCAAAAAATAAATCTTTTTTAAAAAAAGATCTTTATTATTGTAGAGTATAAGTCATTTAAACTGGGACATCTGGAACCCTATGCTTGCTGCTTCTTTCTACTCTTATTATTTTGACTGTTTTGCCACCAGAAACCAAGCTGCCCCCAAATAGCATTTTGCTCAGTTTAGAAATTTTCAGTGAGGAAGAAAATCAGTATTATTGCACTCTAGCAGTGGTCCTAAAGTCATTAATTAATTTTTTTCAAAAGTTTAATCCATGTGTGTCTCCTTCTTAAAGCACCAGATGTTGTACCTTTTTAGTCTCTGAATATTTTAGGTGGTTCTTAATATTATGTGGATTAAATCACCATAGAAACATCTGAAACTGAAATCACAACAACAGAGATAATTAAAAGGCGAGATGTTGGTCCTTATGGCATTCGATCTGAATATTGTATCCGGAAAATCATTTGCCCCATTGGAGTTCCAGAAGCACCAAAAGGTAAGGAATACAAAGAATTCTGTTCTTTTGTTATTGACCTATTAACCACATCTTTTACGAATTAAAATTTGATTATAGGGACACCTGGGTGGCTCAGTCAGTTAAGTGTCTGCCTTCAGCTCAGGTCATGATCCCAGGGTTCTGGGATCGAGCCCCGCATCGGGCTCCCTGCTCAGTGGGGAGCCTGCTTCTCTCTCTGCCTGCTGCTCCCCCTGCTTGTGCTCTCTCTGACAAATAAAATCTTTTAAAAAAATTTGATTATAATTGTTTCCTTAACTCTTTATTCCACTTTTGAAAAAGAGATCTTTTCATTACAATCTATTATATTTTTTAAAATGATATTTAAGTAATAAACCCTAATAGGATTTCACGAGACACACATATCTATAGGCATTGTTCCAAGCACAGGGAGGGTACAAAGAAGTATAATAATACCTCTTACGGGGCACCTGGGTGACTCAGTTGGTTGAGTGTCTGACTTGGTTTTGGCTCAGGTCACAGTCTCATGGGTTGTGGGATCGAGCCCCATGTCAGGCTCTAGCTCAGCAGGAAGTGTGCTTGAAAGATTCTCTCCCTCTGCCCCTCCACCTGCTTGTACTCGTGCGTGCGTGTGAGCTCTCTCTCTCTCAGAATAAGTAAGTCTTAAAAAATAATAATACCTCTTATAATTAAGCTGTGGACCAGTGATTGACACCAGACCATCAGCTCCAAGAGGGCAGCTACTGAGTCTGTCTAGTTTGTTGTCCTGACACCTGCTGCAGAATATGACACATAAGTGGTCACTGACCATCTCTTGATTCAAGGGTTAAAGCTGTTGTGAAATACTTGAGTTCTCAGGGTAGAAATAATCTAAGAGGCATAAAGAGTGATTCAGTGAGCATCTATAGAGCAACTACATGATAAGCACTCGATAGCAAATACATGGAAGAATGGGATTCAGCCCCTGTGCTCACAGAAGCAAAGAAAAGGGTATAGTATTACACTTCTGTAACATGAGAATCAAAACCATTAATGCTAAAAAGAGTTCAGTGAGGTGACCAGATTCAAGAGATACAGTTTAAAATCAATAATTTTATTTCATATGTGCAGTAAAAACATTTAGGGGGAAATCTTTTATGAAATGGGTAAAAAGAGAATGCTGTCCTTAGAAACGTGCTATTTGGGCGCCTGGGTGGCTCAGTTGGTAAAGCGACTGCCTTCGGCTCAGGTCATGGTCCTGGAGTCCCGGGATCGATCCCGCATCGGGCTCCCTGCTCAGCGGGGAGTCTGCTTCTCCCTCTGACCCTCCCCCGTCTTATGCTCTCTCTATCACATTCTCTCTCTCAAATAAATAAAATATTTTTAAAAAAAGAAACGTGCTATTTAATAATAGAAGCTAATTGTCCCCAAATGTATACAGTTTACATTTTGAAATCGATTGAATTAATTCAAAAGTTCTTCTTGCAGAATAGATTTTTCAAAAAAGAACCTCAATAAGGGGATACTGTCCTAGTAGAGGATGAAAATTAGCATAATTAAAACAGGGTTGTTGTGGAACTGAGACAGCTCAGTTGATGGGCAGAGAAACAGATTGGAACAAGCGGTTTCTGACCCATCTTCAGTCTTGGCCCCAGAGCTTTCAGATCACTGCAATCTCCTTGGATCGCATTTCTTTGCCTCTTACCACCTTGGATAACCTAGGTCCTACTGCTGTTTCTGTTTTCTTCGACTGCTTCCCTGTTCTCTGAACAAATGGGATGGTTCAATGCTGGCCTCTTCCTACTTTTTAGTTTTAAAATCTCGCCATTAGGAGATTTTACCTCTGCTTAATAGTTTCAGATCCCTTCTTTACATGGGCAGCTTTCAAATCCCCCTTCTCAGTGCTGTGATGGAAAATACACATTGCCAGAATAGTACATGCCAAGGACACCCAGCCCAACTGTGTGGGAAGAATACGCTAGGCTTCTTGAAGGACATGTATCCATGTCAGTGTCTGAAGGATAAATAGACGTTAGTCAAGTGAGGGGGACAGAGCCTACGAATAGTGTTACAGGCAGATGGAACAGGCTGGGTAAAGGCTTATAGGCCTTTTATATCAGGGGCCAGCAAACCTGGCCCATGAGCTTTAACCCACCACCTGGTTTTGTTAATAAAGTTTGATTGGAACACAGCCATACATACTCACTTATGTATTGTTTCTGGCTCTTTTCATGATACAGAGGCACAGCTGAATAGTTGTAACAGAGACCATCTGGCCTGCGTAGTATAAAGTATTTACCATCTGGCCCTTTAAGAAAAAGTTTGCCAACTCCTGTTTTTCATGATCTAAGAGGAGATGCCAGAAGTATTGTAATTTTAGAAGCTATATTTGCTTAAAATGCTCTGATTTCTTTTCCCAAGAAACACCTACACCTCAGAGGAAAGGCCTTCGATCAAGTGCATTACGGCCAAAGAGACCAGAAACGCCCAAGCAAACTGGCCCTGTTATTATCGAAACTTGGGTAGCAGAGGAAGAATTGGAATTATGGGAGATCAGGGCGTTTGCTGAAAGGTAAGGAAGTGGTTTACATGTAATCAGATATTTGAAGCTTAATTTCAGTATATCCTAGTTAATTTTATTTCACCTCTTGATTTTAAGTGCTAGCTATAGATCATTTGTTAAAGTCCTGTTTCTAATTTTAATGTGTTTTACCATTTGTCAGTTTCTAACTATCTTACATTTATTGTTTCTTTTTAAGCAGAAATAATTTTATATCTTTTTATAATATGAAAGTCGACCAGATTTCACTTAATATTTGGTACCAGTTGTCTAATTAGTGTACTTTCTAATAAAATTCCTCCTTTTTCCCCCCCCTGCAGAGTGGAGAAAGAAAAGGCACAAGCAGTTGAGCAACAGGCTAAGGTTAGTGAACAGAAGAAGGCAGAGGACTTCAAGGCCCACATGGAGGCTCACCTCAAACAGCAGCGCTTGGCTGTCCAGCAGGTGGGGGAGTTGGTACTAGTCCCACCTGGCAGCGAATTGACATTTTTAGCCAAATTCATGCACACCAAAAGCACAATAACGATATATTCATGTGGTTTTATTTATTATCTCTAGAATTCAATGGGTAAGTGTTTGTTGTTACTAAAATATCGTTGGCACACAGTGTTCCATTAGCTTGAGGTGTTTGTGGGTAATTTTCAAAGATAATGTTTTCCTACCAAGTTCCAATCTGTAATATCTCTGTAGGCCATGAAAAAGCAAGTTGTACTAAAACTCTTAAGAGTTTGTTATAATTGAGGATCATAAAGCTACTGATGGTTTCTTTGCATTTCTACACTATAAATAATGTACTGTATGTGCCTGAATATTAGGGGCTCACATAAAGGATGAGTCCCACTTTTTTCTCTTGAGAAAATAGTATAAAAGTTATAAAACTTTTTAGGATATAGGTGAAATCAATAAAGGTCTACTTACAATATCACTAACTTAGTTACATGTAAGTATTTAAAAATTACATATTATATCAACCAAAATACTCATTTCAAACTGTTTTTTTCCTCTCATATTTTATAAAACATTCCTTATGCATAAATTTTTATGCATCTTTTACTTTGGTGTACTGTAGGTCATTGCCTTCCCTTACATCAAAGTTGGAGATAACACTTTTGGGTTTTTTCATGTCTATCTGTCCATTCAGAGAAAAACTAACTAGTTTTGTTTTTCATTTTATGGGTGTGTTTTGTCATCTCTATAGTGAAACCTGATGTTTTACTTTTAAAAATTTATTTAAGATGCTTATTTACAAATACAGTCAACATTTCCAATTTTGAAGGCATACCCTCAGGAAATAACTACTAAATATGTGTTCAGTTTCTTTGTCTTTCCCCCTCCCCCACCTTTTTAAAACTGATTTCAGTCAGATGACATCTCTGAGTATCCAAAACTAAACTCCTTTTCTTCTGAGGAATGAGAAACTATGGAAAATACCTCACATTATATTCAGGTGTATAGGATGTGTACAAAAGCAATCCTACATAGATTGTGATGTCACTGGTGAGCAGTTGCCAATGGCAGGAGATAGTTCAGCATTACAATTTTATCTTAGTACACATCTCAGCCCCACCATTACCTAGCTCTGTCCAGGGCATTTACACAGTCTCTCTGAGTCTCGGTTTTGTCATCTTTAAGTTACAATACCAGTAACTTTATTGGGTTGGTCTGAGCATTAAATAAAATAATGATGATAAAGCATTTGCACCAGGTTTGAAATCAGTGCTGCCTCTTGTTCTTACATGTGGAAGCTTACGTTGTCGTGTTGGTAAGGTCAGGAAATGTTAGCAATCTATGATACAAGATGTTCAGATTGTCTGTAAAAACCCTGTAGTCTGATCAGATTATACCTCTCTGCATAAAATAGTCTAAAATATTTTTCTGTAAGAAATTTTGAACTGAGTAGTATAAGAAGTTTAGAAAAGATATTTTATTATGATTTTCAGTTTGCTTGCTTACCTGTTTGTCAACTGGAATAGTGATTATTTAAATATTGACATGTTTTTTATAATTGGATAAGTTAACATTACAGTAAACCAGAAAACTTTTACAGTTCCTATCATTTGCTCTGTGCTCTAAATTCTGCCCCCGAGCAGCAAGGTGTTCCTGCCTCCAGTGAGATTACCCGTGTCTCTTTTATTTGCAGTCTGAAAGCTTGGTTTAGAGTCATAACATAATGGCCTTCTTCAGGAAATTAAGGGCAAATTTATATGGACATATTTTCAGAAATATTTTAGAAGTTTGATGCAGTTAGATTTGGAGAAATTATGGCTGGACTTCTTGCAGAATGGTATTGTTTTTATTTAGAACTCTTTTGGTTCATGTGTTCTCTCCCTGGCTTTTCTAGAAACGATTGGAACAGCAGAAGCCTACAGTAATTGCAGCTTCCACCACTTCCCCACCAAACAGTACAACTAGTACCATTTCTCCAGCACAAAAAGTTATGGTGGCCCCCATAAGTGGCTCAGTTACAACTGGAACCAAAATGGTTCTCACTACTAAAGTTGGATCTCCAGCCACAGTAACATTCCAGCAAAACAAGAACTTCCATCAGACCTTTGCCACGTGGGTTAAGCAAGGCCAGTCAAATTCAGGTACATAACTGTTATTAAAGAAAAGATTACTTTCATTCAGGGAAAAGAAATTTCATTCCTTTACTGAAATGAAACATTTCTTTAGAAAATTGTTTTTTTTCTGCAGCTGATTGAGCAAACAAGCTGCAACAGTTGGTTTGTTACAAATAATATAATTATTAACATTGGCGAAACTCCACTCTTACATTATTTCACTTTCAACATTTACATAGTTCACTTACTTTGAGTGGAGAGGAATGTTTGTCTTAAAAATACAAAATGAGCCACATTTCATGCATTGGTGCCCTTCCTATAAGTCACTACGTTGCTGGTTATTTTAAATCTAAAGCTTATTAAATGTCTTATACCCCATTAGCCACCAGCACAGCTGCCACATCTGCTACAACCATTGCCAGCACAGGTCAGACGTTCCAAATTACAGGCAGTCCAGTCACTATGGCAGGAAAAGTAATTACCAAACTGCCACTTCCTGCAAACAGCAAGATTGTCGCTGTAAATGTGCCAGCAACACAAGGAGGTAAGGGAAATGTGAAGAGTTTTAATTCACATTTGCCAGATCATACTGTCGCCATTATTTTTCATTTCCTTTTCACTGATTTCAGTCCTCGGATCTCACATTCTATGTAGCCCACTAAAAACCCTGCCACACGTAGTTTCTCCTCAGAAACCCAGCAACACCTGCTGCTTTTTATTAAAGGGGCAGTTGTTAATGACTTCTTCATCTTTTTTTAAGGTGTTGTTCAAGTACAGCAGAAAGTCCTGGGTATCATTCCATCAAGTACAGGTACAAGTCAGCAGACCTTTACTTCATTCCAGCCCAGGACAGCAACAGTCACAATTAGGCCCAATACCTCAGGCTCTGGAGGAACCACAAGCACTTCACAAGTAAGAATTCTTTACAGGCTTATTTTGTTTTGAAGTGTTAAGCAGACCAAGTTGAAGTTTTTAGAACGGCCTCTTCCAGGATTAATCCAGCTTCTAATACTCCTTTGCTTTTTACTTAATCTGTGACGAAGTACTGATTTTTTTAAAAAAATCTTTTATATTTCTAAGCATAAATCATGCAAAATGTTAATTTTTAACACTTAGTTAATAGCATATTCGTATACGTTATGAGTCAAATTAATGCTTTCTAGGATTCTGTAAAGAAAATTCCTCCATGTGAAACAATGGGTAGCACTGGAGCCCCCAGGGAAACTTGCTGTGCAACTGGAAGTAGAACGAAAATAGAATCCACGACATTATAACTAGTTTGTTATCAGCTGATATGCACACATATTAGATATGTAATTTCTGTGGCTCTAGTATCATGGAAAAAGTTTGAAGTTTTATAGAATTGAAAATGTTCTAAACCTAATTATAAGACTGAAAATTAATATGCTCTGTAGTCTCTCTTCTAAAACCATGAAAGAACATTGGGTTTCCAATCTTACTATTGTATTCTTTGGGTGACAGATATGTATTGGACCTCAGGGAAAATAGGACTCAACATTTTCCTGTGGGCAGCCATGGTGGTTATAGAACAGAGCTTCACTGAGTCTTGTCCCTTCCTTCTAGTCTATAAAGCTGTACTTGGTATCAGTGACAAGGAATTTCGTATGATCTCATTTGAATTAAGTTTTCTCCCCTCAGAATTCCATCTTTAAGCTGATGCTTGATGTAATTTAAAATGTAATGTCCAAGAGCCTTTGTCATTTCTGTAGACCTATTTATCAATAGAGAATGTTTAAAGATCTGTGTTCTTAAGTCCATCATGCTTTTAGTCTTTTAAAAACATTTAATTCATTGTCCTTTGTGTCATTTATAGGTAATCACAGGGCCTCAGATCCGCCCGGGTATGACGGTGATTAGAACACCACTCCAACAGTCAACACTAGGAAAGGCGATTATTCGAACACCTGTGATGGTACAGCCAGGTAGTCATCCCTCCAGCATTTTCATTTTATATCTAAATACCCAGTCTGGGAAATCTGTAATACTCTGTATTTGCTACTCTACATACTAAAAAATACCGACTTGAATGCATACTTCAAAGCATACTAAATTTCTAATCCATTTTGGGGTACGTCCATATTATTTCATTTCTGGCATTGCCAATAAGGGAAAAATAGATCCAAGCATGCTTAATAAAAATCTTTTAAAAACCTCTAATAAATAGAATATATATTAATTCAGATCATTGGAGTAAAGAGAATGAGTAAAGACAACAGTCTGTGTGGCAAAAGACAAAGTCAAGGAAACAGCTAAGAAGGATTTAAACAGAAAACATAAAAAAAGCTTACAAAGGCATTAACAGCCCTTCGTTAACGTGAATAGGTTAAAGTTCCCATATTTAAAATTTGAATCCTGTAAAGATAGAACAAAAAAAATTCAACTGTACAGTAATAAGAAACCTATCTAAAGTTGAGTTACCACAAAAGGTTAATAAAAAGATGGGTAAAGCTACATGAAATAAAGACCAAAAATAGAAAGTAAGAAGGGAGATAGGGGGTATGGGTGGGGAGGACAAAAATTATCTTTAAGACAATGTAAAAATCATTGACTTTTGCTCTGTTCAATATTAGTAAGATAATTTGCAATGAAGATGCAGTTTGGAATCTCTAAGGACGAAATAAGGGGCGCCTGACTGGCTTAGCTGGTGGAGCATGTGACTCTTGATCTTGGAGTTGTGGGTTCAAGCCCCACGTTACGTGTAGAGATTACTTAAAAATAAAATCTTCAAAAAAAAAAGAATCAAATAAGATTTCATTGGAGTGTTTAAAGCAAAAACTATTTGATATCAAGGAGGGATCAACAGAAGCATAGTAGACCAGAAACAGACTGTGTCAACTGTTAAACCTTCAGGAATACACATTGGTTTTAAATATATATGGGCTCTTTATACAAAAATGGTCATATAATGAGTCATAGGTAAAACCTGATGAATTCCTTCCAAAAAGTAGAATGTGTATAGGCCACATTCTGTGTAGTAAAGCTAGAAGTTAATATTAAGTTATTCTACTAATTTTTACTTGCTTGAAAATTTTAAAACATATGTTCTCATAAGTAACTTCTGAGTTAAGGAAACATCAGATGCATAGGTTCAAGCAGATTATCAAGTAGCAGCTAAGTCATGCTGCCAAAGCTGGACTCAGAGACAAATTTATTCAGTAAATATTTTGAGCACCTACTCCAGGCAGTTGAAATACACTGGAAGATAAAACAGACCAAAACCCCATATTCTTAAGTCTTAATCAGTAGTTAGAAAAATATATAAAACAAGTCTTAAAGAAAACAGGAGGAAATAAAACAAAAATACAAGTAATAATTAGAAAACAAAAGGGCGGGTGCCTCGCTGGCTTGGTCGATAGAGCATGTGACTCTTGATCTGGGAGTTGAGAGTTTAAGCCTCATGTTGGGTATAGAGATTACTTAAAAATAAAATCTTAAAAAAAGAGAGAAAAGGGCAAATGTTATTAAAATAAACCATTCTTGGGGCACCTGGGTGGCTCAGTCGTTGAGTGGCTGCCTTCGGCTCAGATCATGATCCCAGGGCCTGGGGATCAAGGCCCGCATCGGGATCTCTGCTCAGTGGGAAGCCTGCTTCTCCCTCTCCCACTCCCCCTGCTTGTGTTCCCTCTCTCGCTGTCTCTCTCTCTCTCTGTCAGAAAATAGATAAAATCTTTAAAAAAATAAAATAAACCATTCTTTTGCAAGTCTAATCTTGAGAAATGGGAACAAAATGCTAGTTTACAAAATTAGTAATGAGAAAATGCTATAAAAATAGAATGAACTTTTTCTTTTAAAGATTTTATTTATGTATTAGAACATGAGCAGAGGGAGAGGGACAAGCAGACTCCCAGCTGAGCGGGGAGCCTGACGCAGGGCCAGATCCCAGGACCCCAAGATTATGACCTGAGCCAAAGTCAAATGCTTAACTGACTGAGCCACCCAGGCGCCCCCTAGAATGAACTTTTTTTAATCAAAAGAGAATTGTGTGTAGGAATCCTTATAGTAAGACACTGGAGGATTCTCACACCCCATACTCAGGAACTAAATCTATTTGAATAATGAGGCATAAGTATATACTATGCTTATAAATTTCAAGTCTCAATGACTCATATCAAGGAAAGAAATTTAGAAAGTTGCCATAGTATTTCCCCCCAAAAATCCAGACCTCATGGTTTTACGGGTAAAATTCTTTGAAATGATTAGGAAGCAATTTTCTTCTTATAAAAAAAAAGTTCCAGGGCATAGGGCAAAGAAAAGATTAAATCTTTTCCATTATTTTACAATTTTAGCACAGTTCTAATATGAAATAAAGCACTGTCTTGTTTTTTTATTTAAATAAAGGCAATTTTCTAAAGTCTAAACAGGATTTACCCCAGAAAAGAAAGTGTGATCCATTATTTCACTTAATGCTGCAGGGACAGTTGATTAATTTAGTATCTGTTACTGTTTAAAAATAGCTGTCAGGTAACTAAAGGGAACAATAAAAGTGTAATGTAAATGAGAAAAAAAAATTATAGATGACAAATGGTAATATACTTACAAAACTGAAAAAATTTGGTAATTGCAAGATATAGAGCCTTTGTTCTGTATTGCCTTATGTAGTTTCAGTTATGTGTTTGACTCGCATAGTGTGACTCCATCGCTACACGTATGAGTGTGTCTCCTGTGTCAAAAGCAAGATGGCCAGTGGGTCTGGTGGGGCCCAGTGAAGATGTGGGATCTTAGGAGTTGTGGCCAGAGAGGTGGAGGGTGGGTGGATGTGTGTAGTGTGCCTCTGATTATGTGCAGCTCAGCTTATCCTATTCCTACCACCACACTGGCCTTTCCCAAAACTGAATCCACAGACTTCCTGGATGTAATAAAAATTTTTTAATTTTTGAATTTACATTTTGGTGATAATCTCAAATTAACATGTACATGTTGGGGATCATCTGAATGAGCAGCACTAACCCTTTAATCCATCTTTGTTTATGATGGCACCATATCAGTACCAGGGGATCAACTTAAGTAATTTTTCATGCATTGTTCCTCAAACTGCAGTACAAGGACATAATGTGGGGTCCAGAAGTTCTCAGATTAAAGCACTTGACTTCATATGATGTAATTTTTTTTTTTTGGTTCATCTTAAGACTAAATGGAAGAGATTAATTGAGAAAAGTTTAGAAGATGAGAGTAATGATGGAAAATGCACTGCTAGTTGTTAGAGCAATTTGTACACCACCAGAATTAGCACTGACACCAAAGGAAACTAGATCAATAGAAGCAACTAAAGATTAGGCATGATATGTGAGAATTTGCAGTGTGACAAAGGTGTCATTTTGAATTAGGAAGGTAAGACTGGACTTAACAGCAAATGATACTGGAATAATCAGTTTATAGTTTTGGTGGTGGGGCAGACCTCTGCCAACGCATATCATGACTAAGAACATATTTGGGAAGACATATCTGATTAGAGAATGCAGGAAAATTTAAAAGAAGTAAATAAAGCCAGAACAAGAAACACACACATACATGTTAAAAAAAAAAAAAAAACTTTGAGATTTAAAAAGAAATAAAAGGCAGAATGCAAAGTAGGAAGAATACATAGTTGTAATTTTTATCTTAATCTGTAAAAAGCACCTATAAATAAGTAGGAAAAGAAGAGAAATGGGAAGAATGTGGCGAGTTCACAGATGAAGCGTAACGACTTGACACGGTTTTAAATGCTGACCCTCTTTAGTAATTGAAGTCAGAAACCATGATGCTGTCATACCATTTCTAATTGCTGGAAATTGTACTTTAGTGATAGTACCTATGGTTGGCAAGGGTTCGGTGAAATAGAAACTCAGTGATGGTGAGAGTGTGAGTTGGTATAACCTATATAAAATTCAGTTTAGTACTGTGTTCCCGTTAGAAACCCAGTAATACTGGGGGGAGTTTATTTTAAGGAAATAACTAGAAGTGCATAAAAATTTATAAACAGGGATTTCACTATGGCATTATTTAAAAAAAGATAAAAGGGGAAGGTATTCTGAATGTCAAGACTTACAGTGTTACACATAAACACCATTCGTTAAAAGAAATATCTGTGTATATGTACAGAAATATATATGTACTCAGCAATGGAAAAAAAGGAAATGAATATAAAACTTCAGAAATGTGATGGTATTCACTAATTAATAACGAGTTAGGACATTGCAAAAGTAAAATTAGCTACCAAATAATTACTCTTAGCAATTATTCCACAAGGGAAAAATTCCACCTGTTTTGTCTTCTAGTTTCAGCAAGTTAAATGAGAGGTGAACGTTTTTAGAAGACTGCAGAAGCCATTCTAATTTAAATTAATTCATTCAGTGGATATTGAACAATGAACTATAGAAGTATTCTTTGAGCATGAGGATAAAGTGATCCTTGACCTCATGGTTCTCCCAAACTGTCTGGTGAAAAGCTATAAGAAAAGCTCATTTATAAACACAATTGGTTCAGGATAGTCCTATTCTGTTTGTTACGTTTAAAATTCATATGAAATTCATGTGAATAATTATATATTAGATTATCTTCTTATTTTAAATATTCCAAATGAAAGGCAGCCTTATAAAATGGCTCTTTATATGTATTTTTTCTTCAGTCTTGCCTATTGTCGTTTTTGCTTTAGACTCGTGGGAAGAATCTTGATTGTGTTTTCACTCTACTGCAGAGAGCAAGAACTGGGGAATGGTGGTTAGGGAGCCGAGCGAAAACAGGTTCACTGACAACCAGGTGGAACTCTGGGTGTGGGTATATGTCTGAGTGCATCGTTGGGCTGACAGCATCACATTGGTGATGAAAATTGAAAATTGAAAAGCATGCATTCATCTGATGTGTTGGACAATATTTCAACTCCAAATGCTGCTTCAGGGCATATAAGCATTCATAGCGTTCTGTGTGTGTAGGTGCTCCTCAACAAGTGGTGACTCAGATCATTAGAGGGCAGCCCGTCTCCACCGCAATCTCTGCCCCGAGTGCAGTTTCCTCAACCCCTGGGCAGAAAGGATTAACTTCGGGAGCATCCAGCACAAATCTGCAGTCTTCAGCCTCACAGTCCCCTCGCCCCCAACAGGGACAGGTGAAGCTTACCATGGCTCAGCTCACTCAGTTAACACAGGGTCACGTAAGTAATGCAACTTCATTTTAACTTTTTTTTTTTAAGTTTTTAATTCCACTTAGCATTCTTCATTTTAACTTTAGAGGTGATCATTTATTTATTCTTGGAGTAAGTTTAAAAACATGTACTTAGGGCACCTGGGTGACTCAGTCGATTAAGCGTCCAGCTCTTGGTTTTGGCTCAGGTCATGATCTCAGGGTCGTGAGATTGATTCCTGGGTCAGGCTCCACGCTCAGTGGGGAGTTTTCTTGAGATTCTGTCTCTCCTCCCCCTGCCCCCCTCTCTCGCTCTCAAATGTATTAAAAAAAACAACAACAAAAAACAAAGCCATGTACTTACTCTCAGAACTTTATAATGTACCTTTTAAGGAAATGAGAAATGGCTGCTTCCTAGAGTCGAACAAAAATACTTCTTAAAGGCAAGATATAATAAATTTCAGTTATCTAGAGTGCTTAAACCTTAGACTGTGAACTAAAACAGCCAGATGGATAATCTTTTTAACTACCAAACATTACTAGTTGACCAATTTCCATGGAAAAAAATAAAATTTGAGGACATAAGTTGCTTTCTTGCAAGATTCAGTATTGTTACCAGTTCTTCTAGTAGTAATCAGTAGATTGAATGCAGTTCCTGTAAAAATCCCAGGAGATTTTTTTGTGGAACTTGACAGGCTGATTTTAAAAAATTTATGTGGAAATGCAAAGGAGAAAGAATAGCTGTAACACTTTTGAAGAACAAGAGGTTTTGCTGTATTTGATAACCTGATACCAAAACTTCTTACGATGCCTCACTCATTAATACAGAAAGGTACAGACAACAAGGACGGATAGACCACTAGCAGAGCAGAGAATGCAGAAAGTGACCATGTGCACGTGGACACTTGCTCTACGATAGAGGTATCATTGCAGGTCACTGAGAAAAGGACAGACTGTTCAGTAAATGGTGTTGGGACAATATATGGGAAGCTATGAAAGTAGACCACTACCTCACTCATAAACTCAATTCCAGGAGGATAAAAGTCCTACCTGTGAAAGGTAAAGCTATAATACTTTCAGAAAGCATGATAGAAGAAAACCTTCATAACTTAAGGTAGGAAAAGAAAGGCTTTCTTACTTAAAAAAAAAAAACACAGTAAAGGAAAAGATTTGTAAATTCAGCTACATCAAAAATAAGAACTTCAGTTCAGGAAACATTATAAAAGTGAAGAGAATGAGAGAAGATACAAATACAGTCAAATAAGGACAATTATCCAAAATACATAAAGAATAAAAATCAAGAAGGCAAAATGGCAAAGCTCAGTTAAAAAAAAAAAAAGGCAAAGAGGAAATCTAAATTCCAAAATCAAAAAAAGTACTAACTCTGTTAGTAATGAGGGAAATGAATATTAAAACTATGTATATAAGAGCATGGTATAAATTAAAATGTCAGATCAAGAATTGGCAAAGACATGAAACAAAATGAACTTTCATGTACAACTGCTGGTGGTATAAATTGGTTTAGCCATTTGGAAAGCTCCTAGACATTATCAAGCAAAATCGAGGATATGTGCATACATCCAGGAGTTTTTCTAGGTGTATTCCCTAACGAAGTTCTTGTTCATGTGAACACCAGGGTAATGGGCATGAGTATTCATAGCAGCATGGTTCACATGAGTAAAAACATGGGAACAACCCAGATGTCTGTCTACTATCAATTAGGCAAATTGTGGTACATTCCTACAGCAATGAAAATGAAAAACTGCAGCCACACAAAACCACATTGTTGAGCTAAAAGAGCAAGTAACAAACATACGATTCTGTTCGCATAAAACTCAGAAACAAGCAAAACTAGCTCTATTGTATAGGGATACAGGGCTATTACATTGCCTGCCTGGAGGGGCGTCATTCCCATCATGTTCTTCATGGATGGTGCTCTTGAAGTTGTGAACCCAGAGCCCTATGAAGATCTACAACTGGTGTCTGGGTGGCTCAGTTAAGTGTCTGACTCTTGATTTTGACTCAGGTTGTGACCTCGGGGTTGTGAGATTGAGCTCCGTGTTGGGCTCTCCACTCAGCAGGGAGTCTGCTCCAGATTCTTTCTCCCCCCCAACACATACTCTCTCTCTAAAGATAAATAAATAAATCTTTAAAAAAAAAAAAAAAGATCCATACCTACACAGTATGAAGAAGTGCAATGCTATGGTAGCAGTGAGAACAGTGGTTACCTCCAGGGGACTGGAGATCAGAGCAGAGCACAGCGGGGGCTTCTTGGATATTGGTGATGGTGACCTGAATGCTGATGTTATAGATGTTTACTTTATAATTATTTTTCAAACTACACTTGATGTTTTATGTATTTTTGAATGTGCAAAAAACGATATTTTTGAAAATATTTTGAAATATTTTTTGACTCCTGAGTGAAGTTACATAGAGTTCTGTACATGAACTTTGTGGTGTCAGTTTTGGCTGTTGGGAATTTGGAGTGGGTTGTTTTTACTTTGCTTTCTAACTCTCCGCCATGTCCCTGGTAGTTGAGGTCACTGGATTAGTAAGTCCTGGACGGAAGAGGTAGTACATACAGAGTTTTTACTTCCTGGTCCCCATTTTGAGAACTATGTGGGCATTAGCAACCCTCCTGACTTGGTGTTTGCATTCCCTGTCTAAACCCTAAGCTTTTCATACTTGAGCGCACACAGACACACACCATGGGTAACCTGGTACGTGTTGAAAACTGAAACCAGGAGACCTGGGCTCCTCATTTTATCTTACCTTGAACTTGGTCTCCTACTTTGGGCAAGTGACTTGGACTTTCTAACCTTGAATTTCTAATTAGTGATAAGATCATAGTAATATTTTCTCTCACTACTCCACGAAGTCACAAGACAGTATGTATAAAGATGCTTGAAAATTATAAAATAATATGAATATAATCTGGTTTAAAATCAGAATTTCGGGGAGATGTTAGTCATTCACCTCAACGCCCTTATTGTATGGATTGGGGAAATTTAGATCTGGAGGAGTAATGTTACTTGTAAACAGATACCTGGCTGTCCATTTGGAGAGCTTGGACTGGAACTCTGGGGTTTTAGTTTATGTTTTTTCCACTATACAACATCAGTCTTCCCGAATAAATATTTGTATTTTAGCTTATCTGAATTCCTTCTGATGCTATTCTGTAGACATTCAAATATATGTTTTCATTACATGAAAGTATCTTTCTAACATAAAAGTGATATACTTACAGATTGATGCCTTGGACACTGTTTACATGTTGTCTCTTCTTTTCCACAGGGTGGCAATCAAGGTTTGACAGTAGTAATTCAAGGACAAGGTCAAACGACTGGACAGTTGCAGTTGATACCTCAAGGGGTGACCATACTTCCGGGTCCAGGCCAGCAGCTGATGCAAGCTGCCATGCCAAACGGTACCGTTCAGCGGTTCCTCTTTACGCCTTTGGCAACAACGGCCACAGCAGCCAGCACCACCACCACCACCGTTTCCACTACAGCAGCAGGTAGAACTCGGGGTTACCAGAAATGCTGCGTGTCAGTCCTCAGGTGGCTGGGCTAACAGAGGGGTGGGAGGCCCACTGCTTAACTTTGGGAGGATATGCCTCAAGCCAGTGAGCTTACGAGATGACTGGTCAGCCTCACAGTACCTCTTGTTCCTACAGGCTCCCTGTCACCTCCATCCCCCCATAAAAAAATACAGAAAATTGGGGTGGGGAGCAAAAAATAGTGGCTATCATGGTAACTGTGCTCACACTTGCTTCTTGCCCAGCTTTGTGTAGGCACTGATTGAGTCATGCAGATAATCTCAGGGAAGGTGGATCTGTCTAGCTCATAGCTTACATCTGAGAGCTGCGTGTCCAGAACCACTTTGTTAGCCTCCTCCTGAAAGCTGCCCTCACCATGCCATAGGAGAAAAATGAGGTTTTAGCATTAGCCTTATGCCAGAAGTCCTGGCTGATGTCCAGAGACTGCACCTTGCTTTAAAAGCCAGTGCTCCAGAGAGTTAGCGTGTGCAGAGGGCAGCCTTGAAGCAGGACCCGGCTCCCCAGTTGGGAGAGTCCTACCTCAGGTGTGTCTGTGGAACATTTCTAAGCCATTAGTCTTCTTCTTCTTCTTCTTCTTTTTTTTTTTAAGATTTTATTTATTTATTTGACAGAGAACACAGCGAGAGAGGGAACACAAGCAGAGGGAGTAGGAGAGGGAGAAGCAGGCTTCCCGCCGAGCAGGGAGCCCGATGCAGGGCTCGATCCCAGGACCCTGGGATCATGACCTGAGCTGAAGGCAGACGCTTAACGACTGAACCACCCAGGCGCCCCTAAGGCATCAATCTTCTATACTAAAATAAGGAATTCTCACCTTTAGAAAATCCCCTTCAAATTCTTCTTTTAGCAAGGTCCTGTGTTCTAGAGTAATAGAAATATTTGGTCTTTCTTTTTCACAGGTACAAGTGAACAAAGACAGAGTAAATTATCACCCCCGACACAGGTGCAACAAGCCAAAACCTTGCCACCAGCTCAGTCATCAAGTGTGAGTCCTCCAGAAGCCCAGCCACAGACTGCTCAGCCTTCAGCTCAGCCCCAGCCCCAAACCCAGCCCCCGTCCCCAGCTCAGCCTGAAGTTCAGACTCAAGCTGAAGTTCAGACCCAAACAACTGTTGCATCCCATGTCCCTTCTGAAGCACAGCCCACCCAAGCACAGTCATCCAAACCCCAAGTCGCAGTACAGTGTCAGCCTCAAAGTAATGTCCAAGGACAGTCTCCTGCTCGCGTCCAAAGTCCACCACAGACTCGAATACGTCCATCGACTCCATCCCAAGTGTCTCCTGGACAGCAATCCCAGGGTCAGACTACAACCTCACAACCGATTCCAATTCAACCACATACATCTCTTCAGATACCTTCCCAGGGCCAGCCACAATCACAACCCCAGGTACAGTCTCCAACTCAAACTCTTTCATCAGGACAGACGTTAAGTCAAGTTACTGTGTCATCCCCATCCCGTCCTCAGCTACAGATACAGCAGCCACAGCCCCAAGTCATTGCTGTGCCTCAGCTGCAACAAGTCCAGGTTCTCTCTCAGATCCAGTCGCAGGTTGTGGCTCAGATACAGGCTCAGCAAGGTGGTGTGCCCCAGCAAATCAAACTCCAGTTACCTATTCAAATTCAGCAAAGCAGTCCTGTACAGACTCACCAGATTCAGAATGTGGTTACAGTGCAGGCAGCCAGTGTGCAAGAGCAGTTGCAAAGGGTTCAGCAACTCAGGGATCAGCAGCAAAAGAAGAAGCAGCAACAGATAGAAATTAAGCGGGAACACACCCTCCAAGCTTCTAATCAAAGTGAAATCATTCAGAAACAGGTAAAGTTATTAAGTAAAAGCAGCATGTTCAGTAGCTTGAATGATTGTGCTGTGCAGTAGACCTAGTGTTGGTTGTGTTAGGTTTCCGACATGAGACAAAAGTCATTGATGGTTCGATTTAGAAGCAGCACTGGATTGACAAGAAATAACGAATGATTACCATGGCTTGGAACTCTTTGTTGGATGTAAACAATCAGTGCTTATTAGAAGAACTACCTGTATTCGGGGAGAACTAAGATGGGAAGAATGGAGTTAGGAGTTTGAGTACTATGAATACAAAACTTGAAGGTCTGACCAAGCCCAAAGCCACATCAGGTGTCATAGTCCTTTGTTTGAAGCTCTTTGCAATTGTCATTCCTTAGTTTGCATGTAGACCAAGCAAATTATAGACAGTGGAAACTCACTTGCATTTCTAACCACACCTTTGTAAAAGGTTGACATTCTTCTGTTCCATAGCTTAACTAAAAAGTGCCATCCTGCAGTAGCGTCTTAGTGAAGTAAGGCCGTTTAGAGGAGTTAGAATTATTCTACTTAAAATGAAGTCACATGTATAAGATCCTGTAGCATCACTGGAGAAAACTGCCTTTGCATCAACAGCATTAGTCAGGAGTTTGAGTGTGGATTACAAGTGTTCCCAAGTCATGAGACCTGTGTTCAGTTCCGGGGTCTTCTATTCAGTCTGTGAAACTCATCTCTCTGCCCTGAGCTCTATATCCTCATTAATACTCCCTCCTTCCAGCCATAAAAGATTATTGTAATGATTGAATGAGGTCATGTATGTAGAAGCACTTTTTATTTTTTATTGGGATATGCTTGACATATAGCATTGTATAAATTTAAGGTGTACAACATGTTGATTTGATACCCTGATACTTGGAACATGATTGCCATTGTAGCAGTAGCACCTCTGTCACATCATATGGGCACCATTTCTTTTTAGTGGTGGGAATAATTAAGATCTGGTCTCTTAGCGTGTTTGATGATTCTACTACAACGTGCTTGGAAGCATTTTTTAAACAGCAAAGGGATTTTAAAGGTGTATGGCAATATTCTTATAGATTGTGATGTCATAGATATGTTCAACTGCATCATTACCCAGCTTTTAGTACTGTGTAGTGTGTAAATTGAGAATTATTACAATATCTGTCTTTATCCTAATCTCTGTGCAAAGTGGGACAGGGAGGAGGGAAAATATTTGAAATTGATGCCAAGAAAGTGAGCGTAACGTTAAAAAACTATATATGGCTTTTGGAGAATGATAGCTGGGTAAAAATTACAGCTTATAGTACTTACTTAATCTCAAACAAGTGAGTTAAGTTTTTCATGTCTCAGAATCTCTTTTATAAAATTATCCCTTTCAGTGTTGTTAGGAGGAGCAGTTGAGGTAATGTCAAGTGCTTACTTAGCACAGTGCCCAGTACACGGTAAGCGCCCAGGCCATATTGTTGTAGCTCTAATTTTTTTTGTATTAGGATATAAAATTCTTACAGTTTCTTTGGAAAACGTACACGTGCTCAGATTTCTGCTGTTGTTAACTGTATACCAACTTGCAGTCATTATATAAAATATGCACTTTGGGATTTTGTTCTGTCCTGAAGGTGGTGATGAAGCATAATGCTGTAATAGAACATTTAAAGCAGAAAAAGACCATGACTCCAGCTGAAAGAGAAGAGAATCAAAGGTAGGGAGAAATGTTTATAACCCAGGAACACAAGGACTCGTTGTATACCAGCCTTAATCTTCTTTAGCGTGCACACGCACGGGAGGTCTGAGTTTATGGTTTTGGTTTTTGTTTTTAAATCTTGGCTGAAGTTCATTAAATGAGAACACTTGGCACTGCTAGCTGCTCATAACTGGTTTGAATCACTCTTTGAAGCTTTCCAGTTACAGAAAGTTTGTGTATCAACCATAGAGACATAGAAAAATTATTTCTTAAGCCTTTCAGAATGAAATGCCCAGCATTACATGGATTGTGTATTTCTCTCTAGAATGATTGTCTGTAACCAGGTGATGAAGTATATTTTGGATAAGATAGACAAAGAAGAAAAACAGGCAGCAAAAAAACGGAAGCGTGAAGAGAGTGTGGAACAGAAACGTAGCAAGCAGAATGCCACCAAGCTCTCCGCGCTGCTCTTCAAACACAAAGAACAACTCAAAGCTGAAATCCTAAAAAAGAGAGCGCTCCTGGACAAAGACCTACAGATTGAAGTGCAGGTAACAGCGTATTTCCTTTCCTTCTGTGTCCAGCGTTTAGCATTTAACTTTAATTCTTTTTTTCCCCCTTGCAACTTGGGTTAAGCTTTAAATGTCGGCTTGTTTCTAAAACTTACATTTTTGTACAGAGACTAAAAACAGTGGGACACACGTCTTTTGAAACAGGACAGAGGTCTTACATCTGAAGGCATATTGTAATCTCTACCATAGCCACTCTTAGAGGTCAGTCTGTTGATGTAAAGGAAAACATTTTGAGAACCCTCTTGAGGATAGCTTTTATGCTCTATGACATAGTCTCTCCAGTAGTTATCAGGAGCCAAGTTTCATGAGAAAGGTAGACCAAGAACTGCAAAATAGTGTTGGAAAAATGGAAAATAAAGAGTTGTCCATTAAATAAGACACCTTCCTCCTTGACTGATCCTGTAGGCATTGCTAATCCTCTGCTTGCTTGGGGAATTTATTGAAAAATGAAAGAAGACATCTATTCACACATATTTGAACAGCTTCTTAAAAGAGAAGTAGGCATCTGAAGCATCCCTGGAAGTACCTTGTATATTTTAAGATGAGAAGTATTTTTAAAAAAATTGATCAGCCCAACAATCAACATTACGCAACTCTGAGACTTGAGAGATCTTCCCACTAAAGTCAGAAGCCAGATGACAGTGCCAAAACCCAACATTATTATTTATCATCTCCAAAAATTTCTAGTTAGTGTGTTAAGTCAAGAAAAGAAAAAAAGGGATAAAATTCTTATTGTATATGATATGATCATTATATCAAAACCCACAAAGAAAAATTTTATTTATGAAAGATTTCAATGAGGTGGTCACGCACTAGATACATGTTGAGACCACAAGCATTGCGAAAGTGTCATAAACAAAAGAGCCAATTCACAGTAGCAGATATTCCCTCTCAACCTAAGATCCATTTCAGATCAAAAATTCTAATGTGAAAAAAGAAACCACAAAAATAATAGAAGAAAACAAGATTGTCATTTTTGTAATCTCAGGGTGTGGAAAACCACTCCTGCACATTACAGATTTCAGATGCCATAAAGGAAAAAGATTTGATGACAGAAGAAAAAATTTCATATAGGAAAAAAGAAAATACCATAAACAATATTGAAAAATAGGTAACAAACAGGAAAAAAATTTTGTGACATTGATGACAGAATTAGTAGTCCTAAAATTTAAAGAGCTCTTAGGTCATTAAGAAAAAGGTGAGTATTGGTTAACTAGATAAGGGAAATCCTATCACAATATATATGTATATCAAGTTACTACAATGTATACTTTAAATATTTTGCAGTTTTGTCAGTGATACCTCAATAAAGCTGAAATTAAAAAAAGAAAAAACAACACTCTGGTACAAGAATGTGTAAGACATACAAATAAGCAATTTTCAAATTTAAAAATGCCAAATACCAGTAAACATATAAAAAGATAGTCAACCTAAGGACACATGGGTGGCTCAGTTGGTTAAGTGTCTGCCTTCAGTTCAGCTCAGGTCATGATCCCAGGGGATTGAGCCCCATGTTGGGTTCCCCGCTCAGCGGGAGGCCTGCTTCTCCCTCTCCCCCTGCTTGTGCTCTCATATAAATAAAATCTTTAAAAAAAGATAGTCAACCTAAATCCTAAGGAGTCAGTCAAATAAATAAATCTTTAAAATAAATAAATCTTTAAAAAAAGATAGTCAACCTAAATACTAAGGAGTGGAATGAAAATACTGTTTTTTTAGAGAAAATACCATGTATTTCTAGAGAACATTACATCAGTGTATATCAAAAGACTCTAAAATGTGGATATTCTGATATTCCATAATTTCAGTTCTAGAAACTCACCCAAGAAACAGGCAAGATATATGAGCAAGGACATAATGTTAATAATCATAACAAAAATTTGGAATCAACCTGAAATCCACAGAGAAGAGATTGGTAATCAGTATTTCTCAAAAGAAGCACTTTGGGCCCTTTCCACAGGCCAGATTTTTACACAGTGTAGAAAGCATAGTATTGAGTACTCAATACTAGTATCATCACCTTCAACCCAAAAAGTGACCTTGTCCCCTCCACCTACATTCTTAAATATTCAAGGTACCAGCACCACCCTGAGCTGAGAACCACTGGATTAAATACATGTGAGAGTGTCCACTCAGTGGACTACCATTTTAACAAAGTGGTGCGGGTAGGATTGGTCCTTTTTGTTTTTAATTCTTTGGGGAAATTCTCAATGATAAATGCTTGAATGAAAAATTCAGGTTGCAGAATAGTAAATCTAATGTGACTTATCCATTTAATTCACTCAGCAGGTATTCATTTAACATCTAACGTGTCATTTGCTATTCCCACTGCATATTCTGCACAGAGTGGGGAGATATTTAATAGTTTGTATTCTTTACATATAAATAAGTAAATTGGACATGTACATTCAGATGTCTTTCTAAAGTAATTACCTTGGCCAACAAATAAAAATAATCTATAAGTCATTGTACCCCCAAGATTACCATTTTTAAAAAATTTTAGAATATATCTTGTATATATTATTTTTAATAGACGTATTCATGTATAAATGTAATTTATACGGAAATGAAATCACACTGGAGACAACATATACTGAACATTTTTCTGCATTCATTTTACTGTGCAGCCATTTAAAAATATTTCTGCTATAAACATCTTACAGTGTGGTTTTCTTGACAGTATATTACATAATAAGAAAATTTATTATGCTTTAAGAAAGAAGACGTTCAGCATTATTTTTTTTTTAAAGATTTTATTTATTTATTTGACACAGGGAGAGAGGCAGCTAGAGAGGGAACACAAGCAGGGGGAGCGGGAGAGGGAGAAGCAGGTTCCTGGCGGAGCAGGGAGCCTGATGTGGGGCTTGATCCCAGGACCCTGGGATCATGACCTGAGCCGAAGGCAGACGCTTAATGACTGAGCCACCCAGGCGCCCCAGACATTCAGCATTATTTTAACTAGTAGAATTTATGGCTAAGATAATTTGCTTTGAAGGGCAGTATTCAAATGTATATGTACTAGCATATTTTTAAAATATTTTTTTGCAAGTGTAGTGGATTTCTTTATTTAATTTTACAATATACATGCTTATAGAAAATTAAAACATTATAGAAACATATAAAGCCAATCATGAAAGTTCTCCCACAATTTTACTCCCTCACAAAGCCATGGTAACAATGTGGAATTACTATTCCATTATTTTTTTATAGCATTAACAAGTTATTCTACAAAAAAATGCTTCCACAACTTTAATTATAATTTTTTTATATTCAAGATATGTGATTGGTCCTTTATGTTCTTGTATGATTTCTGCTTATCTCTTTTTTGTTAAATAGGCTATTTTTTAGAGCAGTTTTAAATTTACAAAAAAATTATGCAGAAAGAGTTCTTGTAGGCTATCCCCCATACACACTCACACACCACAAATTCCTCTGTTACCATCTTGTGTTAGTGTGGCCATGTTTTACAGCTGATAAGCCGATGTTGGTACATTGTTATTAACTAAAGCCCATGGTTTACATTGTTTCACTCTTTGTGTTATGCAGTTCTAGGAGTTTGACAAATGCATCATGTCATATTTCCGTGTTACATACAGAATACAGAATCCTATCATTACAGTATCATACAGAATGATTCCGCTGACCTAAAAATGTCCTGTGTTCCACCTTTTCCTCTCTCCCTTTGCTTCTCTTATTGATAAAGTAATTTTATTATTTAGTAGAATTAAACCTTCATTTAGCTCTTTGAACTCCTCAAACATATTACGAAGTTTTTGTCAAATTGTTCTATAAAATTAATTTCAGTTGGAATGAATTCAGATTCAGTTATTTTTTCTTTTCTTAAGAGAGAGTGCAAGCGGTGTGCGGGTGGGGTGCAGAGGAGAGGGAGAGAGAGAGAGAGAATCTTAAGCAAGTTTCACCCCTAGCACGGAGCCCGTTGCGGGGCTCCATCTCACAACCCTAAATCATGACCTGAGCCAAAATCAAGAGTCAGATGCTTAACCGATTGAGCCACCCAGGTGCCGCAGATTCAGTTAACTGATTTTGTTGGTTGTTTTTTTTTTTCATATCACATGTTTTCATTTGGCATTTTTTTTTAAAAGATTTTATTTATTTATTTGTCAGAGAGCACAAGAAGAGGTAACGGCAGGCAGAGGGAGAAGCAGGCTCCCCGCAGAGCAGGGAGCCCAATGTGGGACTCGATCCCAGGACCCTGGGATCATGACCTGAGCCGAAGGCAGACGCTTAACCGGCTGAGCCACCCAGGCGTCCCAACGTTTCGCATTTAAGTGAGAGGAGTTGTGTTTTTGTTTCCTCTCTGGAGGCCCAGCATAGACCAGCCAACCCTTCCATCAAGCAGGGAGCCTGTTCTTATGGCCCAGTCCCACTAAGCATGCTGAGTCCCCCTCTCCCTGCAGAAACTGGTTGTTATTGGGCTACCACCTCCTAGTTCTGAGTCTGGAATCCCGCAGGCCTGCAGTGTCAGCTCTGTGTACGGTTTTGTGTTTCCATTTCATAGAGACATTTATATCTTATTCAAGCATGGCTGTAGCTTTTCAATTTTTTCAGTTTTATTATTCTTTTAAGATTTTATTTATTTATTTGACAGAGAGCAGGCACAAGCAGGCGGAGTGGGGAAGGGAGAAGCAGGCTTCCCGTGGAGCAGGGAGCCCGATGCGGGGCTTGATCCCAGGACCCTGGGATCATGACCTGAGCCTGAGGCAGACGCTTAACCGACTGAGCCACCCAGGCGCCCCTTCTCTGTTTTATTTTTTACTACCATTGGTATATTCTTGAAGTGGGGGATCAACGTGTATAACCACTATAACATCTTTTTTAAGTGACTTCTGTGTCCAGTGTGGGGCTCAGACTCAAGACCCTGAGATCAAGAGTCGCATGCTTTACCAGCTGAGCCAGCCAGGACCCCCACCCCACTATATCCATCTTGATTTTTCTAAAATCTGTTTCATTATGTTACAAACACATCATATTAACTAGGAAAATGGCACCCAAGATTTACTTTCTTCCCTTGGAAGAAGTTTAGACTTTGTTTTTAAATAGAGAAGGATTGCTGAATTGTCATACGACTTACCTTCTCACTTACAAGACTATCTAGATGCTAGGTAGAAAAAATAGATTCATTAAACCAGGACCATTCAGGTTTATTTGTTAGGATTTTTGTGATGTTTACAGGGTGCCTGACTGGCTGAGTCATTGGAATATGCGACTCTTGATCTCACAAGTTCGAGTTCCCACATTGGATGTAGAAATTACTTAAAATTTTTTTTGTGTGTGATGTTTAAAGGCTTGGTCATAGTGGTGATTTATTTATACCAAGTTTGTATATGGATGCCAATGACAATGGCTTTTTTTCCTCTAGGGAAATAATCATTATTTCAAAGAATAAGTTGTAGTACTAGGTAACAGAGGTGTGTCTGTAAAGTGTTTCACATGAAGAGAAGTAAGGATTTTCATTTATGTCAAAATGTGTATTGATAAAATAGCTTTCCCTGCATTCTTAAATTCTAGACATAGGAGCATAATAAATAAGGCAAGTCTGTCTCTCATTCAGCTTTTGGCTGGTCAGACCACATCTTGAGTGTCATGTTCAGTTCATGCTGGGTCTCACTCTAGGGACATAGACGGAGAGCAGCCAGAAGGAAGCAGGCGGTGGGTGAGGACACTTGAAACCCCATTCGGAGCAACAACTGAAGTAACTAGGATACAACACGGGCAAGCCAGGAGGGGACATTGTTTTCAGAAACTTGGTCATCTTTCTGTCAGATCTTCTTTGAGGATAGCTAGCAGCTTTCTGGCTGTTACATAATCTTCACTTTATATTGCTTGTTGATTTGGTTGGGTTTAAAATAGTTAGGACACTACAGTTACTCACCCCTTACACGGGGCTGAGCTGTGGAGCTGCTCGGACAAGGGAGGTAATGTAAGAAGGAAGGTCATATAAAGTCCTCTGGCCAAGTGATGCATTTACTTTAAGTGGAGTGACAGTCTTGTATTGTCTTTAATTGACAACAGGAAGAGCTCAAGAGAGACTTGAAAATTAAGAAAGAAAAAGACATGGTGCAGGCCACTGCAGTGGCGGCCACCTCGCCTGCAGCCCCGCCTGCGCCTCCAGCCCCTCCGCCGTCACCCCCGCCTCTGCCTCCCCCGCAGCACACAGGCCCCCTGGCCACGGCCACGGCCACGCTGCCTGCGGCTTCCCAGAAGAGGAAGCGAGAAGAAGAAAGAGACTCAAGCTCCAAGTCCAAGAAGAAGAAAATGATCTCTACTACCTCAAAGGAAACTAAGAAGGACACAAAGCTTTACTGTATCTGTAAAACGCCTTACGATGAATCTAAGTGAGTAGATTTTTGGGGGGCTCTAGTTTATTTTATTAAAAGTTTAGCTGTTAAATTTCCAGTTGTGAAGAAGATGAGTGTATTGGTAGCAATGTCAATGAAAGTAGTTGAAAGTAAGGGTAATGAGGTTTCATCTGTGGTCTTGTAGCTGATGTTCTTAAACTCGACACTAGAGAAGTAAAAATTTTGTATTTTACGTGTTCATGATTCATGTTTGTTCTTCATCACATTCTTTTCTGTCAAAAACAAGCTTTCTGTTGCTCTTTGCTTTCTCTTCTCTCTGGATTAAATCCAAATCAATCAGTAATGCTGTCTGGAGAAGGAGGTATATTATTACTGCTGCCCAAAGCCGAGAGCATCCTTTCTGGAATCTGTTCCCAACCTTATGATTACATCAAATCTTAGGCACTATCTGACTATGAATGGTGGACAGTGTTTCAAGTTTGAGTGGTTTTATTGTTTAATTTTAAGCAGTTCTGTTTTTTTGTATTGGAATACTGAAAATTAATATTTTTGTCAAAGTTCCCACTTTCTTTTTGGGGACAAAAGCCGGAGTGTTCTTTTCACTCAGTCCTCAAGAATGACACTCAAAAATGTGATAATAAAGCATGGCAGCTGGAAGATGTTTTTGACTGTTGTGACTTGTATTTGGTGATATATACAAGATTTTAGAAACACTAGTCCATTAATGCAGTTTCATTTTTTTTTATCATTATCATTGAACGAAGTATTTAGCTTTCATTTTGAGCATTTAAATGTAGGCCAGCTTTTTAAAGCCAAGATTAACTACAGTGTTTTTTGCAGTACCAGAAAGTTTGATTGTGCTAAAAATATATGATTATTTAGAGTTAGCCATGCTTAATGTCTGCCTTCAGTGGATGCCTAATCAATTTATAAAATAAAATTGTCATCTCTTCAATGATGTTTTTTAAGTTACAACATTGAAGCTGTTTGGCGGTGCTATTTAAAATTATGACCAGTTGCTAGATCAACACTTTTTGTTGCTAGATTTAGCTGTGTGTTGAATTAAACACCTCAGTTTTGGCATCTTCCATTTTCATTGTCTTTATTGGAAATGATAGATAATGTGGAAAGTGGGGCCCTGCTAATTGATTTTGCCTTTAGTCTAATACAAGCCTGCCTCCCTTTAAGCACAAGAATACTCAATGATTTACAGAACAAAACAGAACATGATTTACTTTCTTTACAAAAATATCTGCATATGGACTTTATTTAAATAATTAGGCTTCTTTGGCTTATTTTAAATACTCAGATCGCAGAAATTCATTTCACACACATTTTTGTCATACTTAAGTTGCATAAAATGAGGCACGCATGAACATGTGCTCATTCTTCTGCGATCACCTCATTATCTTGTGGGTATTTCATATTTTTCAGTTTGTTGTTATTAAAACTTCAGTGTACCAGGTTCATTCACTCCCTGTTCTAGTTGGGATGAGCTATGTTTTTTAGGAGTATTTTGTGATCTCTTGTACCATACTAGGCTGGTTTGGAAACCTAGTGAGAGTAACTAAAACTTGAAATTCAAGTCCTGAGCTTACTTCCAGAACACATAGCCCGCCATCTGGGTGAAGTCAACATGCAGAAACACTTTGAAGGCCCAGCCCCCACATGTGGCAGTGAAAATCATGCAGGAGTCTTAATTCAAAAGAAAAAAATTAATGTGAATAGGATGAACTACACAATCATTTATTATTCCTTTACATTCATATGGCAGGTTAGTTTGAGGACTACTTCCATTTCTCCAGGTTAATATACCAAGAAATACTTTGGTAGAATCGTTATCAGCAAGATCAGTCGGATCCCTTGTGATTCACACTAATTCTTGCTATGATTTTTACATGGCATTGCTACATAGCTCCTGTCAGCACTTTTAGATACACTGTTTGTCATAGAGATGCTTTTCATTCATTCTGTCATTTGGGATCTTATATTACAAAAGCCTGGAGGGTTGACTGAGTGTGATTGCCCTCCTTTACACACTCATACAGCCCCAGCTCGCCAATTACCGTGGAACCTCTTGCTGTTTTGGCTACCTATTCTTATATCACACTCCACACTGTATATCCCCCAGTTTGAGTTGAAGTAGTTCCTTACCAGGTAATTAACCTGGTCACTCTCCACATTGTCACATACATTACATTGAAAAACTGGCCCATGTCATAATCTGTTAACAATTGGATTAAATTCCCATGTTAATTTAGAAAACTTAGTAGAAATTGAATTATCACATGTATCTTTCTTAGATTTCTTCTTCATATCATATTTTGACCATTTATCTTCTATACCTGGCTGACCTGCATGTTCCTTGTAGTGTAACTTCTCCTTGGTGTTTGCGCTTTGCTTTGTTTTCAAATTTAAACTGTGAGATACATTTTCAAACCTATCTAAGAAATAGCCCTGAATTTGAAATGGCTTCTGTGGCATAGGTTTGACAGATGTAAGTCATTGATTCTTTGGCTTTGGTTTTGTGCCTGTTACAGTTTTACACACATTCATTAAGAGGGAGACATTACCATCAGTGTGTTGTTTATTTTTTCAAATTCCAGTGTGTTTTTAAAGACCCATATTTCAGTAAACAGTGTATTTGTTGAAACTGATGTGAGTGATTTTATGTTTCTACACTTGATACAGTGTCAGATGCTGTAGTTTGCCAGGGGTAGAATGGTTGGATACAGATGTTCAGCTGACTCATTGCAGAAAGTAATCCTGTAAGCAAGTGAATCAGGACAGGGAAGACAGATTTAAGTATCATGCAGCTCAAAATGACAACTACATTGTCATTTTCATTGTGAATACTTTTAGGTTCTATATTGGCTGTGATCTTTGTACTAACTGGTATCATGGAGAATGTGTTGGCATCACAGAAAAGGAGGCTAAGAAAATGGATGTGTACATCTGTAATGATTGTAAACGGGCACAAGAGGGCAGCAGTGAGGAATTGTACTGTATCTGCAGAACACCTTATGATGAGTCACAGTGAGTTCTGATAAGAGCATCATATTTAATAATTTAGGAAGCCAAATTGCTCTGACTGGTTACTTATTTATTTTAAAATAAAAAGCAAGATCTTTTTCTGCATATATTATACACTTACATTACAAATTCCTTTCCAATTTTTTTCCCTCTTTTTTCCCCTCTTTACCTCCCCTTCAAAATTTATGTTGCTTCATAGTGAATGTTTGAGATGCACTGGGGAAAAAATGTGGTTTAATGGTAGACTTGATTCTTCAATATGTAACAGAAATTAATGAGATTAAAATAGCCTGACTTGTTTGGACTTTATCAGTGTTTGAAATGGCGCTTTATTGTAGGTTAGAAAAAAACACTAATTTGGTTATAAGTTCTGAGACTGTTATTAGCTTTTAGGATTTTGAACTCCCGGTTGGGTGGCCAATACCAGCTTCCCATTTGATACAGTACTAGTTGAAAGATTTTTGGTTTATTTTGTTTTGAGCTTTAAAGTCAATTAAATATTTTGCATAATATTCTCCAGTATTACGTAGTGTTCTTGATAAACTTTTAATGCTTGTTCTTAACATCAGAAACACTAAATTAACACAGTTGAATGTTGATCTGCGAAAGTATTAAAACAGTTGTAATGCCAAAACTATTTTATACCCAGAGTTAGAATCTTTTCAGGTGCATGTTTTAGTATTTTTAAAAGTAACTTATAAATAATGTGATCCCATCTGTTTTGAACTCACATTTCCATTTCGGATCTTGCAGATTTTATATTGGCTGTGATCGGTGTCAGAATTGGTACCATGGGCGCTGCGTTGGCATCTTGCAAAGTGAGGCAGAGCTCATTGACGAGTATGTCTGTCCACAGTGCCAGTCGACAGAGGATGCCATGACAGTGCTCACGCCGCTAACGGAGAAAGATTATGAGGGTTTAAAAAGGGTGCTTCGTTCTTTACAGGTGAGAAACCGCTCTGTGTGCAGCGTTTGAAGAGGAAGTCAACCAGCGTGACTTTGGAGATATTTGTAGGGTTTGAACCTTCCAGTCTCAGAGTCTGTGATTATTTCCTGACTCCCAGCTAGTCTAGTGAAGTCCTCCAGACTTCAGTCCTTCACATGCCGAGATCATGAGGTTAACCATATCCACACATGAGCGCAGTTGTTGTCTATGTAACACTCGGTCTTTAAATGACTCACTTTTTTAACCTAGATTTCGTTTTTAAAGAAAAGCTTACCTCACCACTATAGATTGAAAAACAGTTTGATTAAATTCTAGTGAGGGGTGCCCGACTGGCTCAGTCAGAAGAGCATGCGACTCTTGATCTTGGGGTCGTGAGTCTGAGCCCACATTGGGTGTAGAGGTTACTTAAAAATAAAATCTTTAAAGGAAAATAAAAACTTTCTAAAAGAACTGAAAAGAACAATGGTCTCGGTAAATGGGTGATGTTATTTAATAGCATGTCCCTGCCCCCTCGTTAGTGGGAACCATTCCACACTTTGAACCTGTTCCACTCCAGCTGTACAGATAGATAGCAGGTTGTCACATAGGGATGAGAGTATAAGTTTTTGACTTCTAGGCTAGTGCTCCCCCCCCCAGCCGAGGTCCTCAGACCACCCTTCGAGAACGCTTAGCATAGATTATGCTCACCTGAAATGATTTATGACTAGAGCAAAACTCCTCTAAGTATAAAATAATTGCATTTCTCAGGCTTAAAACTGACTTTTGGAATTTAAGGGTTGATTGATAAAATAACTCAGTTGGGAAACTTAAATGAAATTAGTATTTCCACCTGACAATAATGTTGTTTTCTGCCCCAATTATAGGCCCATAAGATGGCCTGGCCTTTCCTTGAACCAGTGGATCCTAATGATGCACCAGATTATTACGGTGTTATTAAGGAACCTATGGGTAGGTACTTGAGTTGAATATATGGAGTGTTTTCAGATGTCTCAGCAGATGTTTATCATCCATGAAACTGATATATTGTGAGGATACGTTGAGCAGGGCTGGTGGAAGAATAAATTACCGTGGTAACTTGTGGGATAAATTGGGAGTGTGTATTAAAGTGTAAGTCTGCATTCTCTTGGACCCAGCGATTTCATTTCTTAGGATTTACATGTGCACAAGTATGTTGTTCATCACAGCACTGTTTATAAGTCCAGAAAAACAGAAATGAAATCAGTGGCCATCAGTAAAGGAATAGCTGAATCAAATGATACGTAAGCAGAGTATGATGCAGCTATGTAAAAGATGAATGAAATCAATGCACAGGTCAGGATCTGTCTGAGCCTCTCATCACTCCCTGCCACCTTTTCCTCATCTTTTCCTGGAAGAAAGCAAATTTGTTGGGCCTATAGTAGAGATCCAAGAGAATATACTGTCATTTCCCAGGACAGAAAAATGGTAATAAGGAACAGCCACAGGTGATTGTATTACAATGAACAGTTTCAGGTGATTATGTTAAAACTTGTGTATCTGCAAATGAAATTATAAAAATTAAAACATAGATAAAAGCTTCCAAAATTGCCCAAGAAAGGATTAGCTCCAGCTGATGAAAGAAGTATTTCAAAAGCCAGCTGAGCATTTTTCAAATGGGAAGGATTTTATTGTATATTCGGAAGTTGCTAAGAGAGTTACCTGAAAAGTTCTCATCACAAGAAAAAAACTTTTCTACTGTATGTTGTTGGTAATAGATGTTAATTAAACTTATTGGGTAATCAATCACTTTGCAGTATATACATATGTCGGATAATTATGTTGTACACCTAAAACTGATACAATGTTATATGTCAGTTATTACCTCAGTTTTTAAAAAGGAGAAGGGTTTGTGTTTGACACAACTTCAAAGGGGGAAAAATGTGAAGGGGAAATAAGTGAGGGCTTAGTTAAAACTATCTGAAAAATAAACAAGTAGCCAGTTACCTCTGTTCTGATGTTGAAGGTAGAAGAAGCTAATCCATGTATGTATTTTAGATTTGTATAATCTCTTTTGAGAAAGTATCTAGGGATATTTATCTAGATAGATAATTCTGCTTCTAAACATAACACAATTCTAGAAAATCTAGGACATAAAAGAAGTAAGAAAAGATAAAATGCACCTTTATCTTTCCCTCACTGAATCCCATTTTGGTGTGTTCTTGTGTGTGTGTGTGTGTGTGTGTGTGTGTGTGTGTGTGTGTGTGTGTGTGTGTGTGTGTG